TTTTATAAGTGGCCTTATTGTCCCTTCATGATTTTTCATTTTACGGATATTTTAACCACCAGTGGTGTGGACTTATCATTTTTCGGTGCAAATGTCTAGCTAAAAAATGATTTGAAAATCATTGTTTTTCAAAACCACCGCTAACATTTCCCAGCTGTGTTTATTAAATCCCGTGATTTTCATTTAGCGGGTGATTTGGAAAAGATTGTTCGGTGGTTATGAGTTCCGGGTGATTTAAAGCGGCATCGAAATTTCAATGTGGAAAGAGTGATCATTCAAATATCGTTTGTAATGGCCAAAAGCCTTCAAACGCTTCATAATATTTTGGTCAAAATGAAAAATGAAAATGGCAATGGCCTTTTCGAAATCAAATAGTGCATGCGAGAATTTAAAAGATTTTCCAGAATTTCTTGCAGCTTGTGAAATAAGTTCCAAAGCAACGTCATACAGCTCAGCTGATTTTCCACTCATGAGAGCAAACAACATCGGATATGCAACATATCGATCACCTGTAATGTTTCCATGAATTATGAAAAGTTGGTAAAAAAGCTTAGGACAAGTTTGGAAAGTGCCTTCTCACAGCCATATTTCCGAATCACAAAGAAGATTAAATAGCTTTGATGTTGAGAAAATCGTCACCAGCTGTGATCCATCTGTTTTTATCCAATCCTTAAGAATAATATACTCATCAAGACTCATCAAGACTGCAGAAAATCCTGTCATATTGAAATTCGATGTTAGCCGGTTCTATTGGAATTTCTTCACTGTTCTTTTTCGCGCACGCATCACACGATGTCTCAAAGCCTGCTTGGACTGCATCATTGCATTAATAAATCGATTTTCAATTTGAGAATTGAAATCACTCAAAACTTGACATACTCTAAAAGAATCAGCAACTGCATTTTCTCTTAGGCTACTCAATGAGACTTCTACTGCACTTTTGAGAGGTCTAGCAAGATGAGAATGTCCTTTGATGGACGGGAAGAGATTGGTGTTTCCATTTTCACTGTTTTCAACTATTAGCCTTGCCTTACATCCATATTGGTTCATTTCGCATTTGAAATAGTCTCTATTGTTGACAGTTTTATCACGTAAGTATAAGTAGCCATCGTATGAAAGTTTCCTTCCACCGTGGGACGTTGTAAAGAACTTGGCTTCATGTTGATAATGATAAATGTACAAAAATAATTACGAAAATATGATAAGTTGAACGAAAATTCTAAATTACCTCTTCTTTCTCCTTATCTTCAATAAATTCTTCGTTTTCAACATCATCGTAGTATTCTTCTGAACACTCAAAAACAGTATATTCATATAAATCACTCATTGTACACTCTAGCTCATATAAATATCAGGCAAAAAATTCGACTCATGAGTTAACGGTTTTTTGAAATTTAAATTTTATACTATAAATTTTTCTATAATTTATACTATAAAATTTTCGTAAAAATGAAAATTCGTAAATTTGTAATTCGAAAAAATGGTTGTTCGTTATTCTGCTTTTCGGGAAAATACAAAACACTCCTAAATTTAAGATTGGTTCACTGGATTTTTGTTATTTAAGGGCAATTCCACATATGAGTTGAATTTCGAAAAAATTAAATTTTTGATCAATGTTCTTTAAAAATTTGATTGCTTCAAAAATAAACTTTAACTAAGCTTACACTTTTTAAAACGAGATAAGGATCTTCATTGACTATTAAACTTTTAGAAACAACATTCTAATCAAAGAAATAATTGTTAATTAAAGTAAAAATTAATTTTTAAAAATTATTTTCTCACGGATTTGGCTTAAGCGTTGGTATATTACATGAAATGCATTAAAATTATTAATTTTTCTGACAATTGAGTGCCTTTCAAGCCAATTTAAGTATGCAGAATCATAAAAAAGGATAGAATGAACGCTATAACAACCATTAATAGTTGTCTAGATGTCTTTAAAGTCGTATATTTTTGCTTTCAAACTCAGAATTCAACATTGTGTAATATACCAACGCTGACAAAAATCCAAATATTTCATTAATTAAAGCATGCTACGGACATTTCAGTGTCGAATTTTTTCGACATGTTTAAATTTAGTCGACCTAGCGTTTGTATATTTTAAACCCGTTAAAAATCTGTCAATTTTAAGCATTAATATTTAAATTCCTATTATGTATTTTTCTGGGATGATTTTAGCTAAACTTAGCAAAAAATAACGGAATTTTCGACGTGTCCGTAGCATGAATTAAAGCTTGACGACAAAAGTTAATTATACATAAAGATAGATCTCGGTGATTTACATAAGTGTTAACACTGGAGCTATAAAGTCATTTGTTTGAGAGAAAATTTGATTCAAAGTCGGTTTTTTTTTGTAAAAATTCATCCGTGGTTCGCTAGGAACAGATATATGTATTCTGTTATGGTAAAGAATTTGATTTCTCACAGAAATCAATTCCGTAGCCTTTATCAGAGCACATATGATCAGTCATATAAATCGTGCGTAAATCAGTTGAACAGAATGATTAGAAGAGAGATCCAGCAAGAAAAAAGTTTCAGTGGAACGAGAAATTAAAATCGTTGTCATATCGCGACAATTCACTGTTTGAATTTACAAAGTCAGTTAAGAAAAAGAATCAACTAATTCCCCCATTAAGAGACAGCAATGATTTCGCGTACTCAAGTTACAATAAAGCAAACCTATTAGCTAAAACATTCCTGGACATCCACAATGTCTCAGCTAATTCCACTTCTAAACACACATCAATAGTGAGAGAATCCATCCACAATATTAACAGCTCACCGAGCAGTGAATTCGATAATATTGATGAGAATCGAGTCAGTCAAGTTTTGAAAAGTCTAAATGTCAAAAAGGCATCCGGACCAGATCTTATTCCAAACGCAGCTCTTAAAGCTCTTAGCAGTTCTGAGAACTTTGTAAGCAAATTAACGTCAATATTCAATGGATCTCTCATTTTCTTACTTCCCAAAATCGTGGAAGATTGCTAAAATTATTCCGCTTCCTAAATCTAAGCCTGCTTCTACAAATTCAACCGACTATCGCCCAATATCATTGCTGTCAACTATGGGTAAGGTCTTTGAGAGACTGATCCTAGATCGTCTGAATGACTTTGAAGAATCCAATAGCATAATAATAAATCAGCAATTTGGATTTAAATATAATCATTCGACTGTTCAACAAATCTTAAGAATAACTGAAAAAGCATCACTAGGCTTTAATAAAAATAAAAGCCTTGGCATGGTGATGCTGGATCTCAGAAAAGCCTACGACTCAGTATGGCATGATGCTTTAGTCCACAAATTGAAGAAACTTAGTTATCCAATGTATCTCATTAAGCTCATTAATTCATATCTTAGAGATAGATTGGCTTTCGTGACTGTTGGCGATTCTGTCTCAGCAATGTTTAAAATCCTGGCTGGAGTTCCTCAAGGTTCGATTATAGCTCCACATTTGTTCAATGTCTTCATTAACGACATTCCGATTCCTCCTAGAGGCGAATTGGCTTTGTTCGCTGATGAATTCAGATGGAAAAGTCAAGTAAAATACCTTGGAATTATTCTAGATACAAAATTAACGTATAAGAGTCATGTTGATTGGATATTGCGAAAAGCAAAGTCTGTTGCGTTCTCTCGCACTTGGTCAGTACGATTATGATTCACTTGGTTTTCGAGTAAAACATAAACTACCGAAACCCATACATTAAGTCTGTTCTGCCAACCTTAGTTATATAAAAAAAAATTTTTTTTTGTTTTTTCTCACTTAGGCTTTTTTTTTTATATTTTTTTGACCACACAATCAAGTCATTTTTCCATCTAACTTCATGCTATTAATTCTATTCCTTTCATTGTAACTGTGATTTAAAACCGAAAAGGTTAACATCATTTCAAGCTTATTTTTGTTCCGTCTTACCATTATGTAATTGAAGAAAGGATTATATTATTTATATCTGTTGCGTTCTCTCAGCTATATTGCTTGCTTAAACGAAATTCGGGAGTCACAGTCGATTCAAAACTCAGAATTTATAAATCTATAATAAGACCAGTCGTCGCTTATGGATGTAGCATTTTCATTAATTGTGCAGCTTCACACTTAAACAAAATCCAAATTTTCCAAAATAAAGTTTTGAGATACGTTCTTGATATCAATTGGGATGATTTCGTCTCAAATCTTGAAGTTCATAGTCGAGCAAAGATTCTATTCATGGCTGATTTCTTCAATAAACTTACAGTCAACTTCTATCATAGAATTGACAGTCATAAAAACACGTTGATCAATAATCTTGGAAAATACGACTACTCTCATCTTGAATATTGACTTAAACACAAACTTCCAGGACCTGTAACATTACTGTAAAAGTTATGGATATCATTATTTAGTTTCCAAGTGGTTCTTCTAACTACTTTATATGTTTTTTATACTTACCTGAGTACTTATTTACTTTTTTTTATATAAAATTTTCCTCACGTTGGGTTGTTTTTTCAATTTTTTAGCCCACATAAACAATTCACTCATTTAACTTATAAACTTCACATTATCTACATAAACTCTCGTGCTTTAATAATGAGTTAAAACCGCAAAAGTTGGTATCATTAATGTTAACTGCAATTTTTGTAAAAAAAAAAAACAAATCTACCAAAGTTCATTACAATAAAGACAAACTTTCTTTCTTATCATCCGTGGAATCGCCCTTAATACTTTGTTCAATAATTTTTCAAATGTTGACAAAAGGAATTCAAATTTTTGGAAACCGTTAAAATTCAAACTATTGAAAACCGTTAAACTGAACTATAAATCATTAAAATATTAAAAATAATTAAAAGCCCAAAGCAACAAAGTTGAATGAGACTGCATTCCATTCATAAATTGATTTTGAAAGAAAAAGGCAAGACAAAACAAAACAATCTTCTTGGAATTTTTCATCATATCTGATAATCGATTGCCTTTCATTTTTAGTGTCGCTCGAATTAAGCATGTTTTCCAAATTATTCTTGATATTTACCTTCGTTTTATCATTCTGCCACGAATCCATTTACCTAATTTATTGTCTTTTTTTGCATATATTTCTCCCACCTTACCTTCATTCAATGTCAGTGCATTACTCTTCTCGTTACAATATCTTTGCATATCAACATCAAGTTTCTGTTGAATGTGTTCATTTGATTGAACACACGATATCCATTTATTGTCATAATATTCTCGAATTTTAATGACAAAAGTAGTTGGACCTTGCAGAGATATCAAGTCGAATGTGATGAAATTTTTAAATATCTCAAAATGAATCGGCGGTTTATCTTGTTCTGAGAGTTTGTGTCGATGGACACAATTGAAAGTCTTGCAGTCACCAAATTGTGTGAGATTTTGACAAAGAGATGCTTTGTTGATGCACTTTGCTGCCTCATTTTTCACAAAGATTTTCTATTTTTGAAAAATATAATATGATTAAAAATGTAAGTTAAGGGATTTTTAATGGATGGCTATTGGCTTTAAATTGCACTGCATTTAAATAATTTGAAAAACAGTTACAGTTCTAATGAACTGGACAAAAATGAACTCAAATTTTAACGACTTTTCGAAATTTGAATAAACTGAACATAAATGAATTAACGGTTTTTAAGATTCTGAGCTGAAACGAATTTTTTTCATTAATGTTTTTTTAAAGCTCAATACTTAACCAGCCAATAAACATCAAAAAGAGCAATAAGCATTCATTAAATTGATGACAATATTTACCTCAATAACTTTTTCACTAGCCTTCATTAAATTTCGCCCAATCAAGAAGTTGATTAGTACTTCAAACTGACTCACATTATCGTCACTTAAAATTATTTTAGACTTCAGAGCTGTTGTTTCCTTCTCTTGTGAACTTAATCGTTTGTAGATCTCATTATGAAAGACTTTAAATCTTTTTGAAAATTGATCACTGGTTGTGATAGCTGAGCACAAATTGAATGGCAAGTCATAATGAATCAAATTGTCGGCATTTTGGATGATTGAGTCGTTAAGAATGATGTCGTTGATGGTTAAAATGGATTCGTCCAAGATTTGGTTGATTTTTGCATCGTCACTTTTGGTAGCTTTTTCTGCAAGCTTTTCTTTCAGAATTGACAAAGTTTCGATTTCACTTACAACAATCACATTCTTTTTGTATGAATTTAAATCCGTCTCGGTTAGTTTGTGGATCTTGTCTTGCGAACCAGCTATTTCTATTGAAATTGAAAGTCCTACAAATGCAGCAGCATCGAGATAATTGTCCATACATATTACGGTATCTACTGTTGATAAGCGGCTCAATATTTTCGTCTTTAATCCATTGCTGTTTGTCCTTGAAACTATAATAGTTTGAGGCACTTTTGATGCATATAAAAACTTAGTTAAAGCATTTAATTCTTTATCAAAGAGGTTTAATGAATATTGATCAAAATTATCAAAAACAACATGACCAAGAGTATTTTCGTCGATGATCTTGTATGAAGTTTTTTGAACAAGTCGAATAAAAGCTGGAGGAGTTGTGACTAAAATATCACATCCATTCATTAAATCAATTTGCTTATTCTTGCACATTCCAACTGCCTTAACAATGGAAATATTTTGATTAACATAATCTTCACATTTCTTGACAATTTCATCGATTCTGGATGAATTGTTAGCAAATATAATTGCAACAGGACCCAAATTATCACCATTAGCACGATTTAATAGTTTATTTATTAATGGAAGGATGTAAATTGATGTTAAGCAGTCTTGATTTGAGGAAATAATAAACGAGTGATTTCCGTCTGCAATTTGGGGCCAAATGACTTTTTGGATGTCGTTTAAATGCTCATTCTTATAAGAAAACTTCTTCTTTAAGAAATTATGAAAGCCACTTTCATTAATGCTATTCCAAAATGATTTTAATTCACTTCCATGAAGAATCAAGTTATTTGGAAGTTTGAGATTAGGCTTGGATTCTTTTTCAGGAGTTTCGGATTGAGACTTGTATATTTGAAGCCGCTTCTTAGGCTGGATAGTTTTTAATGGTCCAATTTCCTTATCATGCAGCATGTTGAAGATTTTATTAAAATCAGTTGATGGTTTAGAAGCTAATCCAAGTGAAACGAGTTTTTCAGACATACTAAAGTTACTCCCGTCGTCTAAGATGAACAAATCGCCAATAAACAGATCTAATTCCTCAAAAAATGGAACAAAATGGACTTCAACATTTTCTTTTTGAATAAAAGCTCTGCAAATGTCAATTATATTGAGTGACCACCTATCCACATTTAAAGGCTTTAACCCTAATGATACTTTGTAATATGACATCGTGTTCTCACATTTCAGCTCGTCTGAAATGTTCACAATTTTAGTGATATTCTTCTTGTACTGTGCGTGGTCGATGCAGAAGACATTATATTCATTAGAGCTATGCTTTGAAATGACTTTTCCACGAATCCATTTCTTCCAAATTCCAATATAACATCCATAAATCTGTTTGTGTAATTTGAGACAAAGTGTCAGTGTATCAATTAATAATAGTTTATTTCACAATTTACCTCTCCAAACTTAGGAAAATCAATCTTTGGAGCATTTCTACACAGTCTTACTAAATTTCTCTCAATCTGTTTCACTTTTATGGACTCTTGTTTATTACAAGATTTTTCACCCTCCAAAAATTTAATGTAAATTTCGTCAGGTTCACGAAAGTTGATAATTTTAACTTTTACACTATTAGACATGATTAATTTCACGATTCTTCATAGCACAATGATAGTTTATAGATTAATAAATAAATTATTGTATATTAATTAACGCAGAAACTTTTAAAAACCAATAAAACTTAATTAAAACAAAAATGTGCTTCGGTCAACAAAAGTCTCGAAAAAAATTACCGTTGCAGAAAATATTCAAAAAATGTTCCGAAAAATTAGTCGTTAACCCCGTTAAAATTCTTTCTAATTCTCTGAAGCTAATCCTTAATATGATTAATCTATTATCTTGTCAGCGGACTTATAATTTCATTAACAATCGATCATTCAAAGTGTCATAGTCCCAAGTGTTTCCAATAAAAACATAAATTTACGTTTGAAAGAAATTTAAAATACCACGCAAGCAACAACTCTGTTCAAAAAAAGCTGAAGGAAAACAAATTTGTTCGAAATTTAACTAATATTTAAAAGTAGTTTTTTCACTCATGTATCGTTATTAATTAAAGATGGCTACATTTAATAATAAACACTGGCTATTAACACACATAAGGAACTCTTTTATAAGCACAGATGATACAGGTAAATAGAGAAAAAAAAAACATTTTCTTCACGTCTTTTTTAGGTCAAAATATTTTTAAATCGTAATTAGACCAAATTGCGTCAATATTGAGGAACTGCTATGTCTGATGATTTTTATGGCTTGTTTACACTGTTTTAAAATAGATGGACGGATTAATGAGTAGTTTAAAGACGTAAAATCGGTCTCAGACTAGTCAAATATTGACTCATGTATCTGTTGTTGTCAATCTTTCAAAACAATAGACTTTATGCTTTAATAGGTATTATGAAATTATTAAGAATTGAATCACTGTATGAAATTGACTCAATAGTGTCATCTAGCTATGATTTAAAATAACGTTTTTCAAAAATTCAAAAGAACTGAACAGAAATGAAGTTTAATTTACTGAACAGAGAATTCTTTCTTAAATTCATTAGATTAAAAAAGTCGTTAAAATTGCTTCAGAATTCAGTTAAAATTTATAACTTATGATTCATGTTTTTATTTTAGGAATATCGGAACTAGTTATGAACAGCGATGATTTAGCAAAGAATCTAGCAAATTCGTATTCAAAAATGAAATTATCGCCTGGGAATAACGCAATAGTGGATGAATCGCTTTTTTACATCTATCCGGATCTAATAAATGAGGAAGAGGATACAGAGGATCTGCTGTCGCAGTCGTTTGATATAAATTACACACAAGAAGGACCGTTTGCCTTTCGTTTTCGGACAAATACTGCAGCAAAGTTAGAGAAAATCAGTGAAATAAGAAAGAAACAGAGTCAGATGAAAACTGTTAAGGTCGACGATTCAATAATTAAATTAAATCAGGAAATTGAGGATGATAGTACGTTATTTATACGGAAAGAAGTGAATAAGACAATTAATGAACCAGTACGGTCGAAACTTACTGAACAATTTGAAACTTTACCTCCAATACAGCTTAATAAATTCCGTGAATATTCAATATTCGACGGATCGAGCTATCCAAGCAATGAATCAAAAACAATTCAAGTTTATATCACACCCATTTCTGAGCTAAAAGATTATCCTATAAGGTGTTGCGTTCATTCAATTGCTAAAATTGAAGAATTCATTGGTTACATACTGTTTAAATGTTTAAATTTATATCCCGAATATGCTGAACATTTAGAGGAAGTAAAGAATTATGGATTGTTCATTAGTGATGAGAGCGGCGAGCCAGATTTAGATTTTCCAGCACTAGATTTGACTGAGGTTATAGCAAAGTATCAATTCAATATTTTAGCACTTGCAAAACGAGTTATTCCTCACATGCAAAATCGAACGTTGTCTGTTGCATCGGATACAACAACTGTTTTTATTCATCCCGTGATTAGACAGCCATCAATTGATACAAATCGATCGCTTCCTACAAATCTCAGAAACAATCAAAATGAATTAGCTATGAATGTGCACGAAACGATGGTCGAGGCTCCCATCTATCAAGCCTATCGAGTTTACCTCGTGACGAAGAAGCATTTCAAAACGGAGGTAATTTTTAAAAGTTTTTATGTTTTCAGATTTAAATCTTTAATCTTTTTAAAAAAAAAATTTGAGCGTTAATTTGTAAACTCATAAATTTTAATTTAATATTGTAGGTCCAGCTCGGGATATCGGCAGAGAAGATAGAAGTAGATCCACTTCAACAGAAAAGCTCAAATTATTTCTTTAGACTTAAATCAACGCATTTTTCTATGGAGAGTGTGGCATTTTGTGAAGTAACGTCACGAAAATCTAGTCGATTTGAATTTAGAATTTCATATAATCCTTTACATTATGATCCATTGTCATTTGCTGCATCTACCTCATTTGATACAACGATCAGTTTTCCCAGCTATACGTTAAAAACAATGACATTCGAAACAGACCCAACAACAGCTGAACAAATATGTCTAAAAGTGAACAATATTTTACTGCTAAGGACGAGTTCTGTGAGACGAGAATACTTGAATAGGCATGAAAAGATTAAGAAAAGTTTTATACGAAAGAAAAAGTTTCCGATTTAAAGATTAAATTCTTTTCAATTACCTTCGGTGCATAAAAGCTGTGCTTGATATTCAGAATCAAATTCGTGTGATCAAAGATGTGTTTTTAAGGGATTAAAATTTTTTGAATTGACGCATTTTTTACTTTTACAAATTCAATTGACTTTCATTATTCAAATTTTTACGGTTTCCAAAAATATAAATGAATTGAACTGACCTTAACTCCATAAACTCAACCGAAATGAACAGCTCTGAGACAGCTTCAAAAAAAAATGTTTAAAATTTTCCTCACAAATAGCTTTTAAAGGTATCGAAGTGTACTGAGATGAAATAAATTGTGAATTAATGAACAGTCAGGCTTTGATCAATCGAGCGCAGACTGAAAAGCAATTTCTTTGAGAGCACGAATTTAAGATGAAACTCACACAGCTATGCAATAAAAACAGATAACGTCAGTCAAATTGAACATGCCTTAGGCAATAAAAATATGATTTTTACGTTTGTTAAAATATAAATGAAGATTTTTTTAAGAGAGAAGATGAAAACATAAATATTAAAAAACATTTCACTGCCAAAGAACACCTCATTAATAATGTAAATGATAATATTTAATAAAATAATACAATCGTCTAATACGGTAATATGGTTAATGCAAAAACTGTAAATTTTAACGAAATGTGGCTATATCAAACTAATATTATTTTGTAACTTGTAAATATAGTTAAACTGCAAAAAATACTGAAAAATCTCTTGTTTTATTTTTTACTGTTCGTTTAAAATTCAAATTTCCCAAGGGTCAGACACTCCAACAGAATTGTAAGGATTGTACAATCCTTACAATCCTTCCATAAGAATAGTGAGGATTATACTCCTTACAATCCTTCCATAAGAATTGTGAGGATTATACAATCCCTAAAATCCTTTTCATATAAGGATTGTAAGGATTGTACAATTCCTACAATCTTTCTATATGAGGATTGTACAATCCTTCCTTAACAAAAAATAATGTCCATTTATTTTTAAAAAATAAGATAAAGTACAAAAAATGAAGAAAGTCAGAAATTTCTTTGAAAACAATTATATTTAAAATGCAATAATTTACCGTGAATCAATTCGAATGATTTTTTATACATTTCAACTCATTAAAAAGTTGTAAAAAGTATAATTTTTACACCTGTGAACAGGGTGAATGATTTAAATCAAAAATCAAAATCTTTTTGCAATGATTTTTAAAAGAGATTTTGATTTAAATCATTTTTGTATGGGGATTTTGATTTAAATCTATTGTGTGGAAGATTTTATTGGGATTTAAAAATCCCTCCATGTAAAATTTTTGTATTCAATTTCTCAAATTATTTTTCAAATCAACAGTTTTCAAAAAAATCCCTTTGAAAAAATGATTTAAATCAAAATCCTTTGTTAAAATCATTGCAAAAAGATTTTGAATTTGATTTTTGATTTAAATCACCCTGGTTTAGGGTGACCATCTGCGTTGTTTTACAACGGACAGAATTGATATATCAAGCTTATTTCGTTCTTTAAATTCAAATAAATAAATTTTTAATATTAAATTAATATTTCTTCTCTAATAACCAATGAAAAACATTTTTAAATGTTCCATACATTTATTTCATCCTTACAATCTTTATACGGAAAGGATTGTAAGAATTACAATCCCTACAATCCTTCTCATATAAAGATTGTAAGGATTTTAACGATTGTACAATCTTTACAATTCTTCCATATGGATATGACCCTTGAAATTTCCTTTAGAATTTTTATGTCTTGGATGAAATTTTCAACATTTTGAAATTCAAATTATTGCTTTGTGTCTCAGCTTTGAGATCTGAAAATTCAAAAAATAATATTTTACCGGATTTTTTGGTTTTTGGAACTTTACTTTATTAATGCTACGCTCGCTCATTTTTATGTTTTTTAAAAATACACATTCAAAAAATGGCTTTTATTTTGCACTTTTATCTTCAAGAAATACATTTTCTCTATACATTAATATTATTACTTTTATTTTATTATTATTCTTTTGTCATATCTCTATTACTGGACGAACATTTGTGTCTACTTACAGACCCTTATTATTTGGCGAAACATTTCCAAGAAAAGGTTCAATGAAAAAGAAAACACATAATGAATAATTTCTTGTCAAAAATAAGAGACAAAGATGAAAAACTCAGAAGACAAACGCTTTGTAAATTTTTAATGACATAATTTAACAAAATGGAAAATCAATGAGGCTTTTTAACGTCTAAATATAGAAACTACAGAGACAACAATTAAGGGTGGATTATAATAAAATGAAAACTTAGTGGTGTAACTCTAAAATTGGAGATTATTCATCATCATCGTTCAGTATCGCTTAGCGATTTACATTTTTTCTTTGATACGTCATAAAAATTCAGACCAATTCTACATTTCTTTATTATTGTGACTCTTTGGCCTGAAGAATTGTTATTTATTTTTATTTTGTTTGATTATTGTACTCGACAAATATTAAAAATTTTCTCTAGAGATCTTTAAAAATCGAAAAATAACAGTTGGAAAGTCTTTAATTTTCATGGATTTTTTTTAGTGTTCTAAGGAAAAAGTTCCCATCTACGGTATTATGGCATCAACTTGAAGCAAAAATGCTAGGAATGTTTTTTAAATGCATGAAATATTGCTTAAAATAATAATGACTTTGTAACGGTTTTCAAAAATTCAAATAAAACTGCTGTTTTTGAAGCGGTTTTCAAAAAATAAAACTATTCAAAATTTTGAAAAACGTTAGAATGAGCATGGAATGAGCGGTTTTCAAAAAATAACACTATTCAAAATTTTGAAAAACGTTGGAATGAGCATTTGAATTAAGCTGTTTTTATTGAGATATTTGATAACATTCCGTACCTTTTGCATAAAGCTGATTCCTTGAATCTACAGTTTGTATAAGAATATGGAATATGTGATATTAAGTAAATAAAAAATATTTCAATCTGTGTTTCTCCATTTCCCTTTCTATTTAGTAAAAATATATATATTTGAAATCAGATCATTTCTTATTATGTGTTTTGTGTGGAGTATGTAGGAATGAGTAAATGCATTGTGAATTTTTCATGATTTCAAGGATACATTAATTTCTTCAGAAGCCTTTTAATTCATAAATTATGCGTTTTCCACGGGAAAATTCCATCAATATTCTCTTTAAAAAAATTCTATCTTGTATAATCTCTATGAATTAAGCTTGTGGTTTTGTCTTTTATATTCTTCTTTTTATACTTTTGGCATTTGTCATTATATATTTTTTTCCATAAAGATGACTATTTACTTAATTATTATAAACTAACGCAGTCATGTCCAAAATTATGTGATGCTGTAAACTCATGTACTTCATCTTCTTAAATCATTATCAAAAATGTGAGTTGTGAAGCTATGCAAAAGCATTTAAACATCTTATTCTAGTGATAATCTTGTACTAAAATTTAACGAACTTTTGAATTTAAATTTTCAATTTTTCTTTTTTGAAATTCCAATTTTGGCGATTTCTTGAGATTCAAATTAAATTTAAATGGCTATTTGAGATTCTTTTGGACACAACTGACTTAACGAAACATCGTCAAACTGAACTTTCTAAAATTAACATATCTCTCAAAATTTATCACTACGACATTACTACCGAGATTGTATACAAAAGATAAGACTATTCAATAACTTTGAATTATTAAAAAATGGTCTCATAAAAAAAATTCTTGACATAATCAGCAACGTAATACATGAAAGAATATCTTCATTTATCTCCAAGACATGAGATTGTCGTTGGAAAAATCTTTAAGCTCTTTTAAATATGCTTCGCTGTTGCTGATGACACTTATGATAACTAGTAATGATAATTATGAGATGGGAATGGCGTGGATGTGATTCTTTTTTTGACATGTTTAAACAGTTTCATAATTTTCTCGAAAAGCTCTTGAAAGTGCACAAGCAAAGACAACACCGATTAATTGGACAATAGCGATGCCAATTCCTACAAAGCCTAACAAAAGGGACTTTGTGTCTAAGAAGTTCAACAATTTTGGATAGCATCCTTCTTGTGATGCATAAACTGACGTGCACTGCTTAACATTCTCAGGCAATAAATGGCAGCATGTTGATGGAACTGTTGTATTAATATAAATGCGCTTCCAATCATTTGGTCCGTTAATTCCACAGCATTGTAATTCACCTTGAACTAAACTCCATGCATGTTGTGCCTCAATTGATGTCGTATAATCCTCCATAGTTCTATTAAATTGTTTTTCGAGTACATCCTTAAGTTCCGAATGTTTAATATATCCAGCAACGCCAATTCCAACTTCCGTAACGAAAACAATCATTAAAAATACCGAGAACGTTAATATTAAGCAGGAGCTCTCTCGCATTGCACCACAACAGCCGAGGAATGAAATGAAAAATATTAAGGATCCAACAACCATCAGTACTATCGGTGCCGTCCAAAATGATTCACCAATGAAGTTCTCATAGTGATGATAAGAGCTTTGAATTATTGCACCAATGATTATTGTAAATAATCCAGTCATCTGAAAAAAAAAAATATAAAAATTTTTTATATCCATCGTTGCTGACTAATTTTAATCAATTTGTTGATTATGGGGCCGTTCACTTATTACGTTTTCATTTTACGGGGGGAAGGGGGGGGGTGGTTTGAAATTGTAACAAAGGGGGGGGGGGGGGGGTGTCAAGACTTATGTAACGTTCCAACTGTCGTCTGTCTTTTAAAAAAAATTTGTTTACAAATTCACACTTCACACCAAAAACATTTTTTTAAATTTTCCACCTTTTTAATGATTTATGAAAAATTATCAAAATAAAATAAATTATGAACGTTCGGGGGGGGGGGGGGGGGTTGTGAGTTGTTACATTTTGTAGCAAAGGGGGGGGGGGAGGTGGTCTTTTTTTGCGTAACGTAATAAGTGAAGAGCCCTATGTCGTCTTAATGAGTGTTGTCAATGTAATTTGCAACATTTAAAAGTATACGAGTGGGTTCTTTTAGCTATCCTCAAGAGCGCTTAAATATTATTTCGGTCATTTCGAATTCAAAATTTTGTCTAATTTAACGTCAATAAATAGTTTTTTTAATGGAATTGCTGTTTACACAATTGAAAAATGCTCTAATTAAATGAAATCAAAAAGATACAGCCATACTGATGGGATATTCACTCAGGAGATATAATTGAGATACGAGAAACTTTTCTAATTAGATTATAACGATGTACAGAGAGCAAATAAGATGAATGGCTTACAATATAAAGTTCAAAATTATGGTGAATCCCGCAAATTTTGTCAATTAAATTAACGTGGTTTGTTCTATTTCTCATTGTCAATGGTTTAAAAAAGGTATAAGGCACACTTAGTCACTCTTAATAATTACTTAATTAATTTATAGACATTTAATTACAATAAAATAGTTTGTCAGTCAAAAGATGAAAATAAACTGATTAAAAATGAGTCAAGTCAAAAATGGAACGAGTTGAACTGAGCGTGTTTCAAAAAGTTTAAATGAGGGATAATTCTCCTTAAAGTTTCTCTTTTGTTTTGTTCATTCTGCATGTTGCTACATGTTATATATAGTTTGGAATAACACAAAATGTGATTCATACTTACAGCAAAGAGAAAGTTGAAGATAAATACGAGATATTTAATACAGTTCATTCCAAATCCTTTTGCCATTTTTAAATACTGATTCTGATGCAAATAATTATTATAATTATCGTGTCTCTTTTTCTTGCTTCTTTATGCTGTTCAGACTGTTTTCTGAACGATGATTAAAGTCAAACAAAATGCGACAAGTCTAGTTTTTGATGTATAATGTTCACTGGCTATTGATAGAGTGCTTCGTTTACTTGTTGAAAATGAACCGATAACATGGAGTGCGAGCTCAAAAAGCCTTTTCGTGTGTTATTGTCTGAAAGGAACGAGACAGATAGAATACAGAAATATAATTTTATCGCTTTAATACACACGAAAGTGCTATTATGAATATTTATTTATGAAGATAGAGACTTTTTAGCGCATTTTCCTGACAGCTTTTGTTCGCACTTTGTTCGTTTACCTCCTCCAGCTTATAAGCTTTTTGATTCTAATTTTTCTTTAAAATTCATATGCTATATCTGGTCAGTGGCAAACGATTCACTTACTCTGCTGAAACTAGTAAAAAGGCTTTATGATAATCGTTGCAAATTTCGAGTAGGGAGATACATTTTTAAAAGACTTAGTTTTAATTGATATCTGTGCGAGAAAGTGCACTTCTGGCAATCACGAGTCACCACGTCTCTACTATTTTTTGTGTTTTCATTCTATTCTATGCTGCTTGGTCGTGAAATCACGATCGATAAATTTCCATAGCAACCTGAAAGTGCTTTTTCTGCACTTGAAAAGGATAAAATTGAATTCATGCTACACAATTGCGTGAAATTCAATTTTTAAATTAATTATTCAGTACTGAACGACTTGATTCGAGAGCAATTCATATAGCTTGATTGCGTATTGAAATGTTATCTGATTCTTTCTTTGATTATGTGTATTTAGAAAGTGTCTTTCTAAGAACTTTAAATTGTTTTTCACTTTTTTTCTCTCAAATTTTTTAATTCACTTAATTTTCAATTATTTTGTAAGAATTTTCACTGAACTTGATATTGTCTACATAACTAATCACTTGACATTACCTTTAAAACCTTTTAATTTGCGTGAAATGTATGGAATAATGTTTAAATTAAACTTTTTTAACAGAACGAATGAATTATGATGAAAATATTTACATGAACTGAGACAGCTGATGTTAAATTTGTATAACTCCATTTTTGCCAGCATAAGACTCTTTTTTGGAGCTGTTTCATTTTAGTTCAAACGTTCTCAACTGTACAACGTCAGTTATGCTTATAAAAATTAATTGTATTTTCGCACGGACCAAGTAAATTCAAATTTAACAATAACGTAAGATTTATCGAAGATACAAATTTAAAATTTACAAAACCGTTGAAATTAGTCAAGACACAAACAATTAGCTTAATTTCATTATATACTCGATAAATGCCTCGCACATACTTTTTATCAGTCACTTTACCTTGGTATATGTTATTTCTGTCATGTGGCTTTAAAAAAATTAATAATTGAGGTAACAAGTTTATTTGCAGAAAATTATCGAACATTGTTCGCTTTTCTTAATATCACACGAAAACGTTCGATCATTCATGAACTACTCCTACGTCTGTTTCTTACTGTTCGATACACTTGCCACCTTTTATTAGAATTAGTTTCTCTACAAATGCCATAGATTGTTGAGCTGAAAAACTATTTAAATAATCAATTATTTTGTGATAAAAGCAGATATAAGCAGCATAACATCCGATAATTTTATTTCCCAAGTGTACATAAATCAAATAAATCGCAATTCCGTTTACATTATATACAGTTGCATCATAGACCGATAAGAAATCAAGGTATTTTTTGTGCAGCAGTTACAGTCAATTTCGCATAAAAAGTACATTTTAAGTTCAAATAAAAATAATTAAAAAGTCATCATGCCAGACAGCGAGACATGCATAAAGTACACGTTATTCATATTCAATTTCTTTTTTGTGGTATGCATTAATTTAACCTGATCTACATTTTTTTAATTTTTTGTGTGGATCTTCCTGGATCTTGTGCCTTACAATTTTTACACAGCATGCTTAATAAAATTCAGGAAGACTCTACAGTAAATAACAAATATAGCATAAAGTATCATTCTTGTTTACTTTAAGATTACCGGTATAATAATATTGTCTGTTGGACTAACAGTACAAGGAATTTATCACGGGTATAGTGAATTTTTGAGCAGCCAATTCCTCTCTCTTCCTGTGTTCTTAATTGTTATTGGCTCAATTATTTTCTTTGTTGCCTTTTTTGGATGTTATGGAGCATGGAGAAGCAACTATTGCATGATATTAACAGTAAGGAAATTTTCTTATTTTTGGATTCTGGTTCATTAAAGTTTTTTCCTTATGATAAGGGGCCGTTCACTTATTACGTTCGCATTTTAGGGGGGAAGGGGGGGGTTGAAAAATTGTAACCAAATGTAACATAGGAGGGGGGGGGGGGGGTGTCAAGAAGTGCAGTCTGTCGCTGTCTTTTAAAAAAAAGTTCACGAAAAAAATTTGTTTACAAATTCACACCAAAAACATTTTTTTAAATTTTCCACCTTTTTAATGATTTACAAATGTCCAGATCACTTTTGATAGCTAAGCAATACATAGTTTTTGTTATATAAAGTAACAAATCAATAGAAAACTGGTTTACAAGATCAATCATAAGTTTAAAAGTAAATCTCTCTAAATTTGTCATTCATATGAAGATTAATATGATCCCATCATTGTGATATTTACATTCAAAGTTGATTGAATTTTCCAAAATTCGGGGGGGGGGGGGGGGGGGTGAGAGTTGTAACATATTGTAACAAGGGGGGAGGAGGGTGAAAAAAAAGTCGTTTTCTTGCGTAACGTAATAAGTGAACGGCCCCTAAATTTTGAGGGTATATCTTGTAGGGTTCACGAAGGTAGGTTACGAGTTGTATACCCTTCTGAACTGTATCTGACTAAGAAAGACCTGATGTACTTGTATACCCCTTCACCCATCCCTGAGCCCTTCGAGCATAGACATACCCAAAAATAAGAGTAGATCCCTGAACTGCAATACTTGATATTATCAGAACATTAAATTGATTTTAGTTTTGCGGACTGTTGACAATAATTTTCATACTGGAACTGGCAGCTGGTATAACAGGATATATTCTCAAAAATTCCACGAGCTCGTTGATTACTGACACTCTACAGCCTACAATGAAGGACTACATAAATAAAGAGAAGCCACATATTGCAACTGCATGGGACGATATTCAATCACGCTTCGGTTGCTGTGGATTGGAAAATTACCAAGATTGGGTAGGATTCATTCTTGACATTCTTTCGTTTAATCAACAAATTGTTTCGATTATTCCAGGTGACTGAAATTGAAGGCATTCCGTTATCATGTTGCGAGATTCCGCATGGCATTTTAAATACCTTCACATGTTCGAATGAGACAACGACACTCCATGAAGTCGGATGTGTTGCTAGTTTTGGCTCTTTTGTTCAAGAACATGCTCGATCATTGGCATTGGCTGGAATAATTTTAGCAATTGTCCAATTGTTTGGATTATTATTTGCCTGTATGGTGGCTAGGAGAATTAAATATCATCGTGTCTCGGGATATGAATAGAAAGAGCAACAGTCGACTGATGAATTTGTTGAGGAAATTAGTCAGTGTAATTTTTGAAGGCTAATAGATCATGACCTGACTAGTGAAAACGTAAATAATGCACAATCCAACAAAATTCATCTGAGGAAGTACGACTATCATAAAGTTAACATGCCAAAATTCTTAAAATGTACATTTCATTATTATTTTAATAATTTATAAATTAAAAAGTGTAACAGTATTGCGTTGTTATCAGTAAACTCACGTCTTATTTTTGACCTGCTATAAACAAAAGCACTTTTGGGCCATTCACAAATGATTTTTATTATATTAGATAATTTTCAATGGTTTGGGGGATGGAGACATCGGAATTTCTCAGTTTCGAGAAGTTTAGGACTCAAATATTTTGATTCCCTTGGCTAATCGTCTGATTATTCCCTCTAGTAACGAGATGTTTCACATCTCCAACCCTTAAAACACGTAATAACTTATTAATGCTCATATTTTGTAGCCTTCCCAAATATTTGACATCATTTGTAAATAAACCTAATTACTTATCATTTGCCTATTTAATTATTCTCTCCGCTCATTTGCTTACTTTAGCTGATTTTTTCCTATTTGATGCCTGAAAATATTTCTCAATTTTAATGTGTAACATTCCACAGTCGAGTACGCGTGTCAACGATAGAATTAACATTAAATTAATTTCACTCGGCATAAAGGCAATGGAAGGAAAAACGTCAAAATTATGGGGATGTGGTGGGCGGTTTTCTCGAGGCATGAATGTTGATCTAACTCAATTAAACAACTCACTCCACATCGACAAGAGACTCGCACAACAGGATATAAGCGGAAGTTTGGCTTATTCAAAGATTTTATGTCAAACTGGAATTTTAGAGCAAGCTGAATTTGAAATGATTCAAAGTGCGTTTCAAATAATAAGTAGAGAATGGGATGGTGGGATGATAGAGTTGAGGGATGATGATGAAGACGTGCATAGTGTAAATGAGAGGCGTCTAACTGAAATAATTGGTGAAATAGGGAAGAAAATTCACACGGGTAGAAGTAGGAATGATCAAGTAGCACTCGATATGAAAATGTGGATGAAGAAAGCAATTCTGGATATCCTTGATATATTCAGGAACTTTTTGGGTGTGCTAGTTATGAAGGCAGACGAGAATATTGATATTTTGATGCCGGGATATACACATTTGCAAGTATGCCTTGTTCAATGATTTATTTGGAATCAAACTCATGCTTTGGACACTTGGAACTGAGCTTTTAATTGTGCACATTGGACTAAATATTGGTAGGAGCTTTAATTCATTGGGAGTCAGAGAAGTTTGAGGAATTCGGGAATAAAGGGGATTTAATAAGTGTATCAGTGTACAGAATGATCCCTTAGTTTAACAGGAAGGACATAAAAGGTTCTAAGACTATTTTCTATTTTCCTACCATAGTACTTAACTGTACTACAAAGACTCTGATTTTTGGGTAGAGTGACTCAGATTGTTCAATAATTCAGCCCTAGAATAGTCTCAAAGCTTTAACAAACCTCATGATTCGGCCTTAGTTTCAAATAATTAATAGCAATGAGAGGCCGTTCAATTATGACGTCCAAAGGGGGGGGGGGGGGGGGTCAGCAAGAAAAGAACAATAGAAATTCCTGGAAATCCATTGTTATTTTTTGAAAAATGACCGTTAATTTCGGACGTCATAAGAGAACGACACCTAAGCTGTGCCAATAAAAACAAATTCCAGTGTCCACAGCATGCAAAATTCTCATTTTTCATTCCGCTATATCTCACTTATCTCCCTACAGCGTGCACAACCAATTCGCTTTTCTCACTGGCTTCTCTCGTATGGCTTTTTCCTTCAAAATGATTGTGATAGATTAAAGCAATTATTCGAAAGAGTTGATGTATTGCCACTCGGTTCGGGTGCAATTTCCGGTAATCCTTTCAACATCAATCGGACAGAGCTAGCGAGTCTTTTGGATTTTAAAAATGTCACGATGAACAGCATGAATGCGGTAAGTGATAGAGACTATATTTGTGAATTCAATTTCATATCAACAATGATTTCACTCCATTTGAGTCGATTGGCTGAGGATCTTATTATCTACAGTACAAAGGAATTCAATTTCATAAAGCTCTCGGGCGATTTCTGTACGGGTTCATCATTAATGCCACAGAAATTCAATCCAGATAGTTTGGAGTTGATAAGAGGTTCATGCGGTGGAATTTTCGGTCAATTAACAAACATGATTGTCACATTGAAGGCATTACCGTCAACATATAACAAGGATCTACAGAATGATAAACAATCAATGTTTTATGTTTATGACAGTATCACACTTTCCTTGAAAGTTATGTGCGGTGTCATTGAATCGATGGACATACTTGAAATTAATTGTCGAAATGCTCTAAGTTTTGATATGCTTGCAACAGATATAGCTTATTATTTGGTGAGAAAAGGAATGTCATTCAGAGAGGCGCACCATTGCTCATCAAAAGCAATCGATTGTGCTGAAAGGAATCGATTGGGCATTAATGAACTTCCAATGTCAGATTACAAAGCAATTAGCGAAAAGTTCAACGATGATATTTTTGATATTTTCAGTTTTGAAAAGAGTGTGGAGCAGTATCAAGCTATTGGTGGAACTAGTAGAAATTCAGTTTTGAGTCAAATTGCATGTCTTAAGAAATACATCGATAACCTGTAAATTTGTGGTATGAGGGTCTGTCACAAATGATGTTCACAAGTTTGAAGATGAGTTCCAAGGAGGAAGAGGAATCTAAAGCTATATTAAAATCATAATTTTTATAGTTTTCTTTCATTTTTTGGTTGACATCATTTATTCACGACCCCATACTGTAATTCTTCAATTAAAAGAAACGCCCAAATTGATTGCAAAAATATACTTTTTATTAGTAAATTGCTTTTCTCTTTTCTATTACTCGATACTTTTTTTTCTTCTTCTATATTTTCGCGTTTGTTACGTTTAAATTGCTGCTGCATTAGAAAGACAAGATTAATCTTAAACACAAAAAAAAATATTTTGACATAGAAACAAAAAAAAATTATAGGCAGTTGTTAATGATTAGTTTCTTTTACAATCTACATAAAGAGCATAAATATTCAAACTGATATAAGGGGCAAGAAAAATGAATTATGAAAACAAAAATCACTGTGGGCTGATTCCAATAAAGATAATCTTTAATTTTTGACTTTGCATCTACTTTTTCCAAGAAAAGGATAAATGAATAATTTAACGGTGATTATAAATTTAAATTGATTTTATGAAATTAAGTGATAATTTGAATTTAAATTAACCGTATTTTTCATTATTTGAAAATTTAAAAAATAAAAACGACGGTTATTTATCTTTTTTAAATCGAATGCTAATCAAAAATGCAAAAATTATAATTACTGTCTAAATTCAGTCCCTTAAAAAATATTCCTAAATATGATTGTCCTTCTTTTTTAATTCAAAGACTATAAAGTATGTTTATACACAAAGTAGTTATTTAACTATATGACTATAAGCACTTATAAAGCAAACATAGAAATGTCTAATGACATGTTAAATGACAATCAAAACTTAATTTAATTTTTCTTCACATTTCGTATGTTTTCTCTTTCTATAAACTTTCTTTTTAAGCACTGTAATAATAAAAAAAATTGTCAATTAAATTTTGGCGTCGTTAATAAAAAAAAATGAAAATTAACTAAAAAGTTCTTCTTATTTTTTAAGATTTAGCAAGCTTTAACATAGTAAGTTAATTAAGCAAACGGATCACAATTATATATTGTATGAGGACTTTTTTTTCTCTTGTTTTTATAACATGCAATATAACTTAAATACGTCTTAAATTGGCTCTATAATAATATAATCATTGTTAAGTTGAGCTTGGAGGCATATGGATGATAACTAGGGGCTCTATTTGTAATTGATGGAGTTTACAAAAAATCATTACCCATTAGCAGTTCACTTTTTAAGTCAAGGGACAATAAAAATTCCTGGAACTTCGGACATTATAAGTGAACGCCTTAGCCCTCAATTCTACTCGAGTCACAAAATTTTGGTTTAAAATAAGTGCTGCAAAACTTTGGCTCCCTCTCGACACTAGGGATCATTTAAAAATGACCCAAAAAGCTTGAGATAGAAATCAAAAAAACTTGTGGAACTTCAAAACCTTGGAATTTGCTTCTTGATTTTATGTCAAAAGGAGATAAGAGTCAAAGAATGCAGTATTTTGATCGGCGTTATTTGTAAACGACCCCAAATTTATTCCAATCCCTCAGTGACTCAAAACAGTTAAAAACAGCTACACACAGCTATCTGTACTGATTATTTTTGAATAGCTGGAGATCATATCCCCTAAATTACAGGCATTTTTTCGTTAAAAACACATAAATTAATAATCTAAAGCGGATCATAAGTAAATTTTGGCAAAAAAAAAATCATAAAAATATTAATTCACTCAACTGCGGTTTTGTGCCTGTTGCGATTATCTTATTTTTTTCTGTTATGGATATTCAATTATTTGGAGGCTTAAACAATGGAGATCAGTCAAATAAAAACTCTCTCTCACTCTACATAAAATATTTTGGGTGCGCTGATTTTTGCACAATTTCACACATGCTAACGGCGACTTTTTGATCTGCTCGATGACCTGTAATTGGATAAGTCGTGTTTATTTAAGGAAGAAAGAAAAATGAAAAGATAAAAAAAAATTAATTAGAAAAATAAATATAAGAATGGGAACTACATAGATAAAACTAATACGTAAAAAAATCAGATTAAATAAAATCAAAAAAATAAAAATAAAGTAGAAAATCAACAACAAACCAGACCAGGCGAAAAAAATTAGAATTGATGTATTTGTGTGAGGTGTAAAGAGCGAGAAAAATATCAAACTAATTTAAATTAATAAAGTAAATCTAAAATAAAATTGAATTAATTAATGATGTGAATAGTAACTACATTAAAAACTATGATCAATCAATCAATCAAAAAATATATCGAATCAAACTACTATAGTGGAGATATTAAGTGTGAAATTATTATTATTAATAATAAAAATTTAAAATGTCTTGTTTAGTTTTGAATATATTGTCAACGAAACGGTGATGTATCAGACAGGAAATAAGTGCTGGTGGATTAAAGCAATTCATTCTTTCCTGACACCGATTAACCTAATCAGATAATAATTTCAAGTATAGATTTTTAAAAACAACAAAACTATTTAAAAAGCATTGGTTTCAAACATTTGAATTTTCAACAGTTTTTTAAAATTTGAATTTTCAACTTCATTTGAAAAATCAAATTTTAACAGCTTTTCAAATTACTTTTGAAATTTAACGGTTAGGGGCTGTTCACTTATTACGTAACGCGAAAAAATGACTTTTTAGACCCCCCCCCCTCGTAACAAAATTTGTATGAAAAAAAAATTTCCTTGTTTGAACCGTAACAAAATCTTAGACCCCCCTCCCACCCTAAAAGCGTTACGTAATAAGTGAATGGCCCCTTATATAAAATTTAAAAAGTAATGGTTTTCAAAAGTTCAAATTTTTAACGAGTTTAAGTTAAATTTTACAGTCTTTTACATACGTCGTAGCTCAAAAAACTTACAAATTCAAGAAATATCAAGAAATTTCTAGAGTTTTCAAAACAAAAAACAATCTGAATTTTCAATAATATAGTCACGTGCCGATGATAATACAAAACCGTTTCTAAATTGACAAAAATGTACCATAAAAATTTTAATTTTTTAAAAAAGAAAAAAAAAGAAATTCAAATTTACCAAAAAAAAAAAACAGAAAAATATGAAAAATATAAAAATTTCTGTATCTACCTATTGCTATAAACCAGTTAAACGAGCAGCATAAATATCTAAATAGTAGTCCACACTACCTTAATTGATAGATGCTAAATACTCAATTAATATTTGATTAGAAATATGAGAATGGTCATGATGAAATGTTCCTGGTTAATAATCTCTAACTTATGACTCTTAGTAATCCTATTATGTAGTTTTATTTTATCCCGAACTTAATTAATTAAATGTGTTGAATGAGTTGTTACTTTTAAGAGACTAGCAAGCATAATTAATGAAGTTAATTAAGCAAAAATAAAAATAAACAAATTTTGGTTGATTCTTTTATGTTAAGTACCTCAAAGTTACTCGAAAATCATTCCTCAAAATTGCGCCGTGATATGTACAATAAAATAAAAATAGAAAAGAAAATTTCTTTTTTTTTGGATGGCAAACAATTATGCAGTGTGTGTGCAATAAAAAATAATAATTAAAAATTTTGTGCATATTTTTTGCAGGAAAGTTTTTATGCCTTTTTGCATAAATTATAAATGCATGTGTGGTGTATGGATTTTATGTTGGGTGAGTGTTTCATGTGTGTAATAATTATATGCATATTTATAAATAAATTTTTTGCTTTGTTTTAAAAAAGGTAAAAGGAAGCACTATGAACAAATACACGATTCTAATTGTGTCCGCCGTGTCTGTCGAGTTATTCGCTTTGGTGCATTTTTCGATTTCAATGATGAATTCCTACGAATGACTTTTTTGCGTTGATAATTTTTTCGACGTGGTGGAATCATCATTGTTTCAGTTGCGTGCTCGGATATGGATACATACGTTGTTATACCTCCAGTTGTTGTCGATAAAATTGATGTATTCGGATTAGCTGATGTTGATGATTTATTTAAGACTGATGAACGGACTTTTGTTTCTGTTGGAAATGAACAGGCATAGATTAATGATTTATGGTCAATCAATCACTTTCTCACCTTTGCTGGTTGAATTATGTTCAGGTTTTGTAGATCTTCTTGAACTGCTACTAGCTTCAGTTACACGACTAGATTTCTTTTCATCTTTGACGGCTTCCTCACGATGACTCTTCACAACTTTTGTTCGTCTCGGACGTCTTGGTAATTCAGTGGATGTGTTTGGATGATCTGATTCAGATGAGCTGGCATTAGACTTGTGCATTCGTTCACGGCTACTAACTCGTTGAATGCGCTTTGAACCATCACTTCCAGTTCCGTTTTCGCGCTTACGACACGATGACGATGATTTTGTTGATGAGATTGTTGTTGATGCTGTGGATTCGCCACTTTTAGTTGTACGCCTCGTGCGTGTGGTAACTGATGGTATTGTAGTTGATATTTTGGAATTGCGTGGTAAACTCTCGATTGATGATTGTGATGATGCTATTATATACAATATAAACATTTATAGACACAAAAAATACAATGGGATGTTATACACAGCGCTTACTTCTTTGTTGCATTCGATGGTAACGCCGCAAACTATCTTCAAAATTCCTCGAAACTTGAACACCTTTTGATTTCATTACCTTGGGCTGTTCAGCATCACTGCATGAATGCTGTTGCTGTTGTAGTTGTTGTTGAAGCTGCCGCCCTTCGGTACCCTCTTTAATCGTCTCGAGACATGTTCCATTGCTTGTAACCAACAATGATTTTCGCTTTTTCTCCTCACTATCAGCATGATACATCTCTTTGCAAGTCTAAAGGTACAGGGCAAGAGATATGACGGTATGGAATATAAAATTCACTTTTTCTTGTGCACAACATAAAGCGTAACCGCATAATTAATTGACCATGTGGAAATTTAAATTAAATTTTCACGTAAAAAAGAGATTACATGCCACTGATGTCCGATTTTATGTACGTAACAGCAATTTAAGTAATTAAAAATTCATCACTGACCTAAGAATTTAGCGGCATATTAATTCATTTGTTTTTATAGTCCTCGAGCATTTTTTAAAATCAGTTCTTGAGGGGTCTTTTATAAGTTGCGTACATTATTTTACTAGTAAGAAAGACTTAGCTTTTCGAAAATCTTTTATATTTTTAACACTAATGGATCAAGTGGCTTTAAAGCATGACATCAAACTAAGTAGCACCTTAAGAGTACAGTATGCAAAACTGGACCCCATACAGCCACAGTAAACTCAAAACTCTCTTTAGTTCCACAAAAAAGTAAAAAAAAACAGCAGTCATCACAAAAGAAAGTTACAACTTACGTTCATTATCTCGTCAGCAGCACGTGCTAATTCATCCAAAATTTTCTTGTCCCGGGCGAGGTCAAGTTTTCTTTCATACTTGTTATTTTGATACAAGTTTTCGTAAATTGGTTCCAAATTTTTCGTCTCATCAATACAACTGTCTAGTGTTTCCAACATTGATTTCTTTTCAGACGTTGTTAATTCCGGTGTCGATGATTTTTCAATTTTTTGGTGATGATGCATTATTAGGTCTGGCTTTTGATGATTAATAGTAACTTTAGTGGACGATGATGATGTGGTTGAAACTTTGTTAGCTATGCCAATTCTTTTATCGCTAAGGTTATTGCTGTTATTACTTATATTTAATTTATTTGAAGAAGATAAAATATTTGTTGATGATGATGTCGATAAATGCGTAAATTGTGATTTATTCGTTATGTTCGTGTCACTCGTTTTTCTCGTTATTGGTGTGCCTTTTATACCGAAATAAGTTAATTCATGTGCTTTCAATTGTCGTGTCCCCGTTGATAATTTTAATGTGCTCGAATCGTCTTTCGTGCCAATGTTGTTGGTATTGCTTACATTATCTCTTTTAATTCTTAATGAATTACTTCGTGATAATGCCGGCGAAAGAGATTCAAAGTTTTGTATATTGACTGTATATGGACATGAAAATAATGCATATAAAAATAGAAATGAGAAAGAAAAGAGAGCTTAGCTTTATTTACAGTCATTAATGAGTCTACATTGTTCATGTCTTATTACCTTTAACGGAATTGTCCTGCTGAATTGTATTAACATTGCTATAAATGTTGCTGTTGTTATTGACCTTTTCATGGTTCGATCCGATTTGAATTAAACTTGTACGTGGTGCTGCTTCAATCGTCACGGGCTTTATTGTTGCTGCTGCGGATGATGATGATGTCGAGTTCTCATATAACGATGTTAATGGAGCTGCAATTTAAATGAAAATAGGAAAGAAAAAGTGAAAAAAAAACTGGGAGAGTGAAAAAGAGAATATAAAAGCACAAAAGAATGGGAAACGACGCGATTTGAAACACTTTCAACTCAATGGGATTGCTTTACGTAAAAGAAGAAAGAAGTATGTAATATTGTGCGATGAATGAACGTATATAAAAAGCATAGCAACATTAAATAATAGGTGGTTAAGAGGCATACATTTACAAGCGTGTGTGATGAATAATATTTTTTTTTATTTTTTTTTTTATGTACATACTTTTGGCCCATTTTGTACCATCGCCGGTAGTCGTTGTAGCTGCTGATGATGACGCTGATTGAAATGCACTAGCAATTTTCTTTACACGCACACGACTCCAACTGCCTGATAATTCCGAAATCGATTTCTCTTCCTCATTTTTACTCAAAAACGACTTTACCTCCTCATCAGCCATAGCATTTTCATCACTATCGTTTGCAATGTCATAAAGATGCTTTAATTGCGACAATTGCTGACTCAGTTGCTGACTTGGATTCATGATCTTTTTTAACCTTGGCGCCGCAACCGGTGCTTGTGTCGACTTTACTGAACTCGTTGACGATGATTGCGAAAAATTATGATTTTCTTTTTCTTTTTGCTCAATTGACATTTGAAACTTTCTATTTTCCTCCAAAAATCCATTAAGGAAGTCAAAATCATCGTCTCGCTTATCCGGACCATCTAAAATACCGTGATCTCCATCGAGTGAGGAAGTATAACGTACAGGTGCATTAGATTTATTACGCAACATCATGCTTGTACTGCTCGATTTTGACAATGACTCATTATTCAGTCTTAACGATGACGTACGTATTAAAGGACTTTCCTGTTCAAAATGTTTCATTGCGTCATCGAAATAGCTTGTCGATTTCATTGTCTTTATTATCAATGAAGTAGATTTCAATTCATCCATTATCGTATCCATAGAACTCGGATGTGGTAATTTCAAGTCAATCGATATTTTATGACCTCCTTTTTGACGCTGATCTTTATCAGGCAAAACATTTCCGCTAGTTTGACGCGAGTCATTGTAACTGGTGAAGGTCGTTGGCTTGTGGGTAGTTGTTGCTGTCGAACTTGTAGATGTTGATGATGAAGAATCTGTAAAGTTGTTTTTATTCATATTATATTTACACAAAATGAATATTCATTATTTTATATTATTATTTTACTTAATGCAGTTTAGTTTTGCGGAAGAAGTGCAATTTTCTAATCGATTTAGCTGATTGGAATGAAATAATGCATAAGCAGTAATGGCACATGATCAAAATGTTTAAATATTTTAATCAGTGATGCTTTCAAGGCAAAAAGTGTTTACATTTGTCGGTTTGAAAACCTTGACTATACAGAAATCGTCGAAAAATCTCTTGTCTTAGACAGTTTATAGACATTAAGAACTAAAAAAATGACTTTTAAAAATTGAATTCTCTGCATCTGACAATGACTATTTAAATTTTTCTTCAATAATACGACACAATTTATAAATCAAACCGTCCATTGGCATAAAGTTCACATTGTGTAGAAAGAGATATAGCCTTTACCAAATTATTATTAGCCTTCACCAAACATTAAAAATTTTTCTTGCATGATTAATAAACGTTTTTGCAGAAAAAAAAGAGTATGAATGAATAATTTAAAATCAAAAATCACTCACCTTTATTCACCGGATGCTGTTGTTGAATTGTGGGCAATGAAGATAAATTTATTTTCGTTGAGTATCCATTACTACTGACTGTTGATGATTGGTAATGAGATTGACTATTAGTATTATTGTTTAACTTCTCTTGATCCATTGCCTTAACGAGGTTTTTAAACTCTATCTCTAATGCATCTTCCGTTGACTTCTTTCCTGTCAAAACTGACTCTAATTCGGCTGAATGTCGCCATGCTGTGTGTTGATTTTCAACAGGTTTTAGTCGGACGCCCCAAAGACTACTTCCACTTTCAAGATTCTCACCGAGATGATATGGTTTCGGCTTAATAGGCTTATTTTTCAATATTCCACGCAAGCCATCCGTGTCTGATTGACCTTCGTCTGTGTCGTCTTCTCTTGCACTTGAATATATAGATCCAACTGTTGTCGTGACATTGGTTTTATGAACGCTATCAAAATGACTTTCTATTGTTGGCTTATCGACTTCATCGTCATCAATTGTTATTGATTCCTGTTGTACTGAATACTCTGCATCTAATAAAGCACCTGAATTTCGCCTTCGTCTACGGAAATTGTTTGTTGGCGGTGGTTTTCCATCCGTTTCAACAATATTAACACGACCTGACTCTGCAGCAAAATGAATTTCTGTTTTACAAAACTCGACTTTCTTGTGTCGTCCATCATTTACAAGTGCAGTTGATGTTAATTTATCATTATATGGGCCATTTAAATTAACGAGCGATATTTTTCGGTCACTGCTGTTTCGATGCTGATAATGTTCATCTACCTTTTCATCGATTGCTATAGAATGACGCTTTATTTCCTCTTTCCTTTCGAGAGATGCCTTTCGACGCATTGGAATTGGTTTATCACTGATACTTGTTTCTGATGCTTTCACATGATGATGATGATTATGATGGTGAGCTGGATTGCTAAATAATGAAATTGATGTTGTAGCTGCCGGCTTTGTTTTATCACCAAACGTAATAATTGTACGTTGAGGTGAATCTATCGTGGGTGACCAATTAGAAGGCAAATCACTCGACCTTCCCAAACCACTATCCGTGGATGATTCAATACCACCTAGTGATGATGACGACTCGTTTGGTTGATACATTTTTTCAAAGCCGTATGATTTTCTTCTATTTAACCAATCCTCTGCACTTATATCACGTTCTTTATTCTTTCTTAACTCAAGGCTCTTACAATTTTGTTCCAGAGACAATTTTTGATTATTTAAATTCGTATTTTCGTGTTCAGTCAATAAAAATTCTTCATTAAATTTAGGCGATGGACTTGATTCATCAACACTCAATTTCTTCAGTCGTTTTCTTATTTCTTGTAATGACTCGGCTGTTAAACAGTCTGTTTTTGATTCTTCTTTGCTTTGATTAGAATTAAGTGAATCCATTGGACTTGTTTCCGTTTTTAAAATTGTATCAAGTGCAACAAAACCATTGCTATTTATGCTACTAGTTGATGTTTTTGATGCGTTACTCAACCGACGCATATTTTCTGAATTTTCAATGTTCTGCCTAATCTTCCATACATTAACGGAGTTTTCTGGTAAATCAGCTGGACGAGATGATCGAATGAAATTAACTCTATTAAGTGAATAGATATACAATATAAATAAGTATAAGTATAATAAATGATCATATAGTATCGATAAAATAAACAGTATGTGTGCCGATTTGTAAAGTTGTCTAAATTGATTTCCGTCACATATATGTAAACGACTTTATAAATCAATAATGTCTAGTCTATAATTGACGATTTAGCTACTTGTGCTTAGCTCTTGTTTATATCAATATTAACTCACCTTCCTCGCGACGTTTCAGATGTCTTAGGAAATTGTAGTGAACGTCTGATTTTACTAACTCGTTTCCAGTCGTATGGCTTCACATCATCATCGTCGTCAATATTTGCCAAGTCCTCAATCGATGCACTCTTCCCACGCAAGAAACTGTTGCTATTAAAGTTGTATGGAGTTTGTTAATTTTCAAGTATATATTTTATTTTTTCGTGTGATCAATGTAGGTATGAATAAATGCGAATATGGAAAGCAAGTAAGAGAACAAGAAGACTAGAGTTAGAGAAAAAAATTCATAAATCGTTTTGTTAATTGTATTTGCTTAGTATTTTCTTTTGTTTCACAATTCTTTCAATTTCTACCTTCAATATTTTAAAGCTATATATCTCCTTCTACGATACTTTAAAAACTAAAATTGAAACTTTTTTTAACGCCAACAAAAATTTTATTTCTCGACGACAGAAATAATTTCAAAATTTCCGCTACTCAAATAAGCTTGTAAAGTTCCTTTTACCTTCAAATTTATTAAGTATTGCAATGAACACGCAATGTCGAGCACTTTATTTGCAATTATTTTATAGTATTTGCTTTGAGTTATTTGACACTTTTTTTTATTGCAAACTTTTCGCTGTTGACACTATAAACAATGGAATCTTCCTAAAATTCACATTATATTCCTATTATCATTATTATTTCTCGGGAAAAAAATAAGGTTTGGATCTTTTCAAACAAGTATTTCAAGCTTCTTTAATAACAATTGAATGTACATAAATTAAGGTAACCCGAAAAAATATCACATCAATTTATTGTCGAAAGTCGCGCAACACAACGCAACAAAAGAGAAACTTTGAAGTAAAATACCAACAAAAATAAAGTGTTTAAAAATATTTCACCGATGTGATTGATTGAAGAACAAGAATAAGACTGAAAAATATCAAGACAGACTTGCTGTTATTTGCATGTAAACTTGTTATAATATATATAAAAAAATGATTCATTTTTACGGGTGCGTGAAGAAAAAAAGCTCAAGACACAGGCAAGAAAATAAAAATTAAATAAGAAAACAAAAAAAAATCTCACATGTGTGACACAAAACAAAATGAGAATAAAGAGAGAAAAATATTAAGAAAAAAAAATCTCTCAATAAATTTTTTTTGCCACTAGAGTTGACGGGCTGATGATGCGAGAGATGTTAAGAATGTTGCCTTTTTGTGTGTTGATCTTAAAGAATTGAAGATCAATATTGCCTGATTAGAATGTAGTAATAAGTTTTTGCACAGATTTATAAAAATTATTGCTACTGTTTCAATAAGTTCAACTGCATTTGTATTGATTTAGGTCAATTTAATGTTCCTATAAAAGGTTTTTCAATATTTTCTGTAAATTCTTATCATTTTACTTTTTTTTTCAATAAAACGCAAGTCTTCTAAACATTTCGGAATTGAAATCAATTCGTCGAACATTAGATTTGAATTTTTAAGAATCGCTGAGATTTCAACAATGTAAGAATCTCAAAAAGGAAGTTAAATAACCTCTAGAATATTGACTGATATTGTGAAATCGGAGATGAAATGATGGCAACAACCCTGCCCTGTCGTTGACTTACATACCTTTCTTTCGAGCCATAAAGCATTTCGTTCATTTGTTGCTGTCTTGAAAATTCTGCTTCTACAGAACCCACGCCATTATTCAAGTCATTATTAATATTATTATTCTTATTATTTATATGATGAAACAAATCAGTTTTGCGATTATTTGAACTATTACCATCATTGGTGGCTGTTGGTGATGAATTAAAATATGATGATGATGAGAGTAAAGCCTTCATCCGACTAGATGTTGGTGAATGTTGTTGCAATGGACGTGGGTTGATTGACTATTAATTGAGAATTTTTATTATTATTAATTTTCCTCGTCTATTTTCGGTCATCATAATAATGTATTAATACTATTTTAATAATTGCTGTTGAATTGAGGGTGAGATAATCATACAGATGGTATTGGCTTGGAAAACTACACATGCCAAAATATGTACAATTGTGATCCATCAACTTCATATTCATAATACTATTATGAGATATTACTTCTCATCCTCATTGCAAACAGCAAACAACACTATTAATTTATTAATTAATCTTACTAATAAATCACTGCTCATCGATGAATTTACATCACTAGCAACGGCAGCAGTTGAAGTACCATTTGTATAATGTGAATATGTTGTTGATGTTATCGCTCTCCTTGACGATGAGTGTGATGTTTGTATCTGTGCTCGAACAACTTGTAGGGCTCCACCGGTCGGTGTTATTGTCTGTAAAATATCCATTTGCTTGTGTTGTTTGTGTTTCGTTCCATCTGATGTCTCAAAACTCTGCAGTAAACTCTGTTGAATTTAAATGAGTATAAATGAGTTATTGAACAAATTCATCTAAGAAACAAAAAGCAGCAAAACATAAAGAGCATGAAAAATCGTAGAATGAAAGGAAGCATGCAGCTCCATGGTTCAAGAGTTTCTTGCACGCGAAAATGAATGGAACAGGAATCATTAAACATTCCTAATTTGGAAGTTTTCGAACAATGTTGCTTTTTAAAAAAAGAATTTAAAGAAGGAAAAAAAGTCAAACTGGAAAATTTGAAATTGATTATTGAGAACAGGTGGAATTGAGCGCATTTCAGTGACTTTTTGGGGTTATGTTTGAGGTTTTGAGGTTAAGTTTTTTTGAAAAAATTATAATTAAGCTACACTTTTATCAATAGAGATGTTCGTGAATTCCATTAATACAAAAATGGGATAATTAAACCCTCCCAACCTAGTCAAATCTTCTAGAAAGCTATAATTTCCAATATATTGAATAGTTTGTGTTTTCCCAATCCTAGACAATTTTTTAAATTGAAGACCAAACTGAAGCACTCAAATTGCGTAAATCTACTTCGAACAGTGTCTCCAATTCGCTTTAAAAAGTTTTTTTGAGTTGCTTAGCACCACATTTCAATTTATTTTTTTTTATAATTTTATTTTTCCGCGGAATTATTTAAACCGAACAATGTTAAATTAAAGGCAACAATTCAGACACTCTACATGTAGGTGTTAGATCTTTTTTTTCTTATTATTTTATCATGAAACCATTTTTCATTAACTCATTTTTGACTAATCTTTTTCGAAATATTTATGGCTCTCACTATTTTTTTAACAAAAAAAAAGAAACCTTAAGTCAAGAAGTTGATTTTCTAGCACGTTTCATTTAGTTTGAATGATGTAATTGGCAGTTTTTTTAAATACGCTACACAATACTTTTTTTTACTCGTTGCCTGATTAAAATGAAATACAAGAACATAATTTGAAATATTTATTATATGATACCATTTGTGTGAGAGAGAAACGTGCAATAAAATTATATATTGTGTTGCAATAAAAGTGCTCATTTATATCTTCACATGGTTTGTCATTGATATTTAAGCTTTTTTTCTGACAGATTTTTATTGCAATGTGCGCGTTGACAAGCATTCCTTTTAATTATCCCCATAAATGTGAAATTTTAATCAACCTATAATTATTTTTTTTTTCATGAATATTTGATGGGTAGCAGCGATAATCATGAGTTTAATATTTTTTAAATACATTCCATATAAAATATTGTGCTTTTAGGATTTTCTGAATTTATGAGTGCAAAAATGTTTTTAAATTCGAAATTTTACAATCCAAAGTAGATTTTTTGTAACTTATAGCTAAAGTGTGGGTTTAAGTGATAGATAGGTACTATGATATAAAGAGTTGATGGATCTTCGAAATACTGGCTTGAGTTTGAAAATTCGCAAACTAAAGCCAGCATTATTATTAAATCATATTGACAGCTTCTAGCTTAGCCAATAATTCATAATTCATCAATACGACCATTAAAATTTAAGCCCACATCATTCACAAACATATTTATAGTACTGCACTTTAAACATCACTGAACAACCCTGAAGTAACACAAAATGACAAAACTTCATCACAACTTTAATTAACTGCCAAGCAATATTTAAATTCCAGGAAAAAATGTCCTTAGAATCTTTAATTAACTAAACTAATGTACAAACTTAAAGCGCACAATACTTAGTATGCAATGCTTACATTAATAAAGCAGCAAACTCAATTAAATTAATGGATAGAGTAAAAAAAGTTCATTACGAATTGATTCAATTTGTTGTGATTTAATAAAGTAACTAGAAGTGTTCAAAACAGCAGCAAGCTGATTGGATACGAGGCGACATTTATTCGCGATTTAACAAAACACTGTATAGCAATAACACTTTGTAATAGACCGAGCAATCAACTACGATTTGGTTCAAAAAAGTGAATGAAATTGAGCAGTAACAAAATATTATTATTTTTTTCCATTTCTTTCCTACCTCTTTATGTATTTGGAAATTGAAGGGGAATTTGAGGAACGAAATGAGGCAGAAAGTGAGATTGTTTAACGCCAATTTTTCTCTCTTACTTACTTACTGCCTTATTTCATACATACGGAGAAAGAAGTAATAAGAGCAGCCCCAATTTCTAATCTTGATTTGCATCAATGAATATATGCCAAAATGGTTATATGTGCGCGGCAGATCTTTCTCCCACAACTCAATTATTTTTTAATAAAATTTCATGCAAGATTTTTTCATTCAACACTCACACATCTCATTACGGGTATGAAAGCATAATAATTATTATTAAGTACCATTTTTAACAAGTCTATAAAGTGAGAGAAAATGCATTGTAGAAAATTCTTATGCAATGCACAGCGCAACAAAAAAAAATTTTAAAAATAAATTGGACGGAAATCATCAATATGACTTATTAATACCTGACTAAAAATAATGGTTATGTGTTCCTTTTTTACAACATTATTAAAGATCATTAACTTATAATATTTTGTGTATTTTGCATATATGCTAATTATAGCTTGAAACTTGCCTGTAAGCGTACGCTTCTTTAAATATTAGCCATTAATAATATGCAAAAATTTGTTTAATTAATCATTAAGGCGCGATTAACATTCAAGCAAGGAAAATAATTTGAATTGCAAAAAGTTAGCAATACTAGGCTTTATACATGAACATTGAGGTAAATGCGTAGGGTTACCATCTAGTTTTCATGAAAATACAGGACATTTGGTAAACTTTTTCGAAAAAAACAGGACATAGAGTAAAATTCGAAAATTAACGGAAATTTTCATGAAAAAAATACAGGACCAGGAACAAAATTTAAAAATTTATACAGGACAGGGTTTCGAAATACAGGACTGTCCGTTGTAAAACTACGCAGATGGTCACCCTATAAATGCGTGATTGAGTCGCCTGTGTTGAGAATTAAAGCGCAGATGCTTATTCTTAATTCTTAGGTTTTAACTGATTTATAGAATTTGAATACATTTTCTGTTCGTTCCTTTCACGAATCATTGCTTTGGCCAGCAAGATTGTGAAATTGGCTTAGGTACCTAAATTAAATACTCTTGAAATCAAAGTTATAACTCTTCAAAAAACTTCAATACAGATTATTAATCATCCACTTTTTATTTTGAACACTTTAAGTGGATATTCTTAAAAAATTCTTGAAATCAGATGCAAATTCTTGCTGTGACGCAAAAAAAAAATCCAATCATTCACTGTGTAAACATAAAAAGTCTCGACAGAAAACCAACTAAAAGTTCACGATTGACAAATCAAACAGCAATATGCATCAGCGAAAACACATGTTATCCAGAATCTCGTAAAAATAAAACAACAGCAAGTTCGATTAAGAAAAAAAACCAATCAACATTGCTTGTCAATTTTTAATGGATCTCTCAATATCTCCCTCATAAAACAAAAATAAAGTCCCTGCATAAATCTAGATTAAGTCAACGTTGAAATCTCATGGAATATCTTACAATTCATCTCATGTTCAATAATCGTATTAAAAAATAATAATATTGGGAATGAAAAGAGATGTTGGGTGCAGCTTGCTGTTGCTGCAGCAAAGATTAATATGCATTGATATCCAATATTTACAACATCATACTCACACTGTTGTGCCGGTTGGTTAATTATTGAATTATTGCTTATAGCTGCTGTTGCTTTAAGTTGTTCATTGAAAATAATTTTTTTTATTAATGCATGTATGCAGAACAATTGCGCTTACGGGTACATTTTAGCTAGGTGGCTCTAATAGTCGTAGTAATATTAGAGCAATTTATCACAATGCTTTTGACAGTTTTTGACCATTATTGGCATGCTGTTAAAATATTACACATATTATGTCTCGACAATTTGCTTAAAGCATAAAAGCGCTTCAAGCTATTGACTCACGACGAGTTCCAACTCATTTTTAAAACAAGCGAGCGAGAGAGGAAAAATAATTATTATTGAAATGTGTAACATAATGCTACAGATAAAGATCAATTTTCCAATGGGTAATAATCATTAATTGATCGATATTTTACAAGCAATTACAACATTTTGTGCTAAAGTATTATAATTAAAGATAAATCTATTAGCGCGGCACTGATGAATTTGTTTATTATAAATTATAATGTATATCAATCAATTTTGCTGTCCCATTGTATTCAAAAAAAAAAAAAAATCAATTAAGTGATGAATGTAGTAATAAAATATTATAAAATCTCTACATGCTCAAAAAAAAGTATATAACATGTAAAATAATTAACCATGAAAATTCTCATTAATTTCGGTCTTTAATAAAAAGTAAAAATGTTGTAAGTGAAAGTTTTTCTTCTTCATAATCCATTTTGTACCCGTGCTCGTCCAGTTGTTGAAAATGAGCAAAAAGAACAAATGAATAATAAGTTTGAAGCTTAATAATAATAATAAAATTTAATTACAAAATCACACGCATTGGTGATTTGCCGGAATAAACATTCATGAGCTTAACTAGATTTGGAAGGAAAAAAATCATCAGAAATCAATGGAACAGTAATAATAGTTTGTTAAAAATGGAACACAGCAGCGAATCATTCGTGTATGAATCGACTTGCTTATTTTCATTTCTGTTGAAAAATAAAAGTATTTAGTGAGTCTATCAGTTAAGTTAAGTATGATGAAACTTAAATTTTTTCATAATTTTGCGAAATATTTAACAATTTTGTGAGTCATCAATATTTAATAAGATTACCAAACAATAACTGTGTATAGACATTCAAAATTGTTAGATTTGAGGCTTTGCATTTTTATCGCATATTTGCGTAGTAATGAGTGAATAAATTTTCATCAATCGACTTTATTTTATCACACCATATGCCATCCAAATTACCTCTTTATGCTTAAGTTTCTTTTATCACCTGTTTATTGACATAGGATTGATTTAAAAAAAATCAGGTGTGGTACTTTCATTTAAATTAATAAAAGAGATTCGCTGTGGATCATAAATGAATAAAAAAGATCAGAAATCAATTATGAGCCAAGCCCTTGATGCATATATGCTTCTTCAGCTAAATGAAGCTTGTTTTTGGTTCGATGATTTAGATGCTTGAACTTGAGTTTAGTCATAATGCTTTATATTAAAGTGACGAATTTATTGAATTAAAGCTTTTATGTGTTCTATCCAAACATGTCAATTGAAGCTTTAATGTTTTGGTTTTCAAGTTAATGAATGCTAGTTTTAGTTCTTCGATAATGCTAATCGGAGACTATGACAAAGCTAGGCATTGTGAAAAAGTACAATTATAACATTTACGCTTAAAAGCTTTTTTTGAAAATTTGAAGGCACGCAAAGATTATTTTAAGGATTTCATTAATAAACTACAAAAATATTAGTAAGAACCTCAAAACAGCACAGATGAGTCATGATTTACAACTTAAAAACCTCCGGTTTAAATCGACACACCTTAAATTCTGAACAGTCTAACAGCAGACCGCAATGAAAAACATTAGAAGACACCGACATATGTCCAACTAGTTGGTTAACAAATCCATTATTTCAGCTAGGATTAATAAATTTCAAAAGTTTGAATAGCAAACAGTCTATTCATGCTCAATACCCGTGCCTGTAAAATATCATTGGAGGGATATCAATAAATCAATGGAGATATTCGCGCTTATTATTCCACTTTCAATACATTTCTCAATATAATTATTTAAATCATTCGACAATATGTGTATTTATGTCTCGCATAGAAAATAATGCCAAGGAAAGAGTGTCTTAAAATCTAAAGTAAAGGAATAACTCACCTTGCCATATGTATTCATATTCCCATTCACATAACGATTAGCCTCTGCTCGTCCACTTAATAATGCTCCTGTTTTCGCATCAATGTGTTGCCATTCATGAACTTCTCGCTTAAATGGTGCATTATTGCTGTTACCACTTAATGCGACGACTTCCATTGTACTAATCATATTGATAAATAGATTGCAATAATGAGTAAATGCATTTAGGTAAGTACTGTAGAAAATTTAATGTGCATGAATATCCATGAAGATTCACACATTGAATAACAACTCAAAATAGTAGACAGGTAAAAAGCTCTTTCACATTTTTTTGTAAGTAACGACTTTGTTTGGGCAACTGAATGTAAGTAAATGGAATTGCAACAATGAAGAAGTAAAGTGCAGTAAGAAAATCTTACTTGATTTCCATTGTATTATGCCAATTAACGTATCTTCTCACTCTAAAGGTAAAGATGTTATTTAAGTATTTTGCCGACAGCTTACTTGTTTTTAAAATTATATTAAGGTTAAGCTGCTGCAACAGCAGCTATGAGATAATGATTTTTTTGATGAGTCTATTGTGTAATGTTAACAGTCTACAGACAGTTAATTTTTTGCAATAGACTGATGTCCTGTATTTGAGTCTGAATATTAAAACTAGCCGCAAGGAATTTAAGTGTCTGGTTATGGAGTTTGTAATAAGAATTAAAGTTAATTGACTTTTGCTTTGAATTTTAACAACTTAGCTTTTAAACTTTAATTCTAAGCTTGTGATGATATTAAATTTGATTTTAAGAAACTGTCAAATTTTGATATGGAAATGATGGATAAATGTACATCAAATAAAATTTATAAAAATTCATTCCATAAAGATTTCAGTGATCGCTGCTTAAAAGAGCTGTTTTATATTGTAGAAATGATCAATGCTATTTAGTCTATCAAAGCGAATCAAGCCCAAACACAAATTTACAAACAAACTTCATTACTCAACAAAAAGTATTTTTGAAAAGTTCGTGATTTTATGGCATTTTATAAACTTCCTTCACATTTTGAAATTTCCAAGAAAATCAAGTTCATAAACTTTTCAAATGAAAATTTCTAAAAACAAAGACCTCACACTATTCAGTTCTACAAGATGTGCGAAAAAAAATCTGGAATATCGATACGGTAGCATCCATTCGCTATGCTACCTACTAAAATATTTGCTAAATATATGATAATATATGATCGATGCACATCAGTGCCATTTAACGTTATACAGTGAGTTTCTTTCTTTCATTATTTTTTCATAACAATATTGATTATTGGAACTACTTTTGCATTTAAATTGATGCGAATTTGCAAAAAAGGAGTTATAGGCAGTGAGTAGAAACCGTTATTGTCACGACACAAAACTTCAAAGATGTTAAACTCAACCGTCAAGAAAATGTGTGGGGTAAGCAGAAAAATCAATTGATTATTCGTCCCCAGGGAGTCTACTTGTGCTTGTTGTTATAAATATGTTCATTTTTTCAGTTTAAGATGAATGAAAATCAGAGACACAAGAGAGAAAAAGAATGATCAATTGGTGTCATGATCGCTCATAAAGTGTATATATTTTATAAATATATAAAAAGATTTACGAGATTTCAATTCAGGGACGATATACGTGCTATGATGTGGTAGGCTTGATTGCATCATCCAGCATGTATTCATTGTCGCAAATTTATTTACTATTGCGTTGTGTGTGCTTTTTTTTTGTGGTTCATTTATTTCTGAAAAGATGAAATGTTTTGAGTATTCAGTTTACGTTCTGTTTGAAATCATGTGCTGATGGATGAACTTTTCAGACTACATGTAGTAAATAAATTCATGCGAGCATTTTTTGCGTGAGGTTTTAGTCGATGTTAAAAATGTTTTTTTTTTTTTTTTTATTTTTATGAGATCCAGAGGTGTTTTATAGGTTTGGTTTTGAAGGAACACTTGACATAAAGTTTAGATAATAAGATTACAAAATTAAGAAAAAAAGTTGATAAACTTTTTACATTAAGGAAACATAAAGTCTCATGCACCTCTGCATATCAAAAACGATGGATGATGTCTATTTACAACGACTACCGCCTCTTAAATTCAGAATTAATTTCGTTAATTAATCCAATTTCACGCCATTGAATCTCGAGGTGTTGCACGTAACCAATAAGAGCCAAAACGAATCAAAAATTAAATCTCAGACTATTCTGCTCAAATAATCCATTTAAGTTGAAACTGTTTGACTATTTACCCTCTACAATCACTTGCATGTGCCATTCTCAGAATACCAATTTTAAAATTGTTGATTCATACCTCTTTATTATTATTCTTTTAAATCAGCACCCATAAAAAATTAGGATCACCGACAAAACACATAATAATAACACCAAACAAAGAATATGAGGTCTTTTAACAGTCACACAAATATATTCAAGCACATGTGGAATGAGATTTAAATGCACAAAAATTAGAATAAGATAATGAGTAAACATCTTGAGTGCTAATAAAATCAGCGCATTTTAATAAAGCACAGTTGCGAAATTAGCCAATAAAAATAAACAGTTTAGAATTATTCTCAAAAGTGGTCGTCCATAAATTAAAGATCCTATTAAACTGCAGATTAAAGTGGTTTTTAATACCGTTAAAAAAAAAACCGACTAAAAGTATCTAGAACTGCAATCAAATAAGAATCAGATTTACTGGATCTTTGCGGTATTCTGCTGGGATAATCATGAATACCATGTATTCATCAGGAAATACTTATATCAGATTTAAATAAAGCAAGTCAGAACTTAAGTATCAAGAAAGTTTTTGCATCAAAGGTTCGTTCAGTAATATTTCGCATCAAGAGTGCATTCAGTAAATTTTTCGCTTCAAAATTAAGTTTTTTGCCATAACTCACACGACTGTTTCGAATTTCTTTTAATTAATAATTATTTTCTCTTCGAGAGCTTTAGGCTTTTGTTTTAAAAGAAATAAATTTAAAAAAAATTCCAATTAATTTCACACAGCGTCAAGCTTGTAATGTCTAAATAGGATTATGGCAAAGTACTGTTAAATAACTACAATGTATAAGGCGTCAATAAAATCTGAGAATCTAATCCAACTCATCGCCATGTAAGGAATAGAAAAATGTCGGCATATCACAATGAAAGCACGAAAGCATCCAACAATGTGAGTTAACCTAAAGTCAATCAAGTTTATGTATCTCTATATAAGTCTGTCTAGACGGACAAACAAACTTAAATGGACACAACTAAGGCGCTTTTTGTATGAAAATGTTTATAGAAAATATTGTTTGAAATCTCTTTTTGGCATGTCGTGCAAAATTTTTAAGCAAATCAAGAAAATACAAATAGTTCTGGGGTTATTCATATATGATATCTGTCATTATTGTGTTCCTGAATCTTTATCATTAAGAATATAATCTGAAAGATCAGAAGAAAGGAGAAAAAAAATTAAATTTTAAGTGACATCATTGTAGAATGTTTCAAAATTTCCATAGCGCATTTTTCGCATGTTTTACTGATTTCTAAATTGTCTATTGTTTTATCTATCACGCGTTTATAATGATCGGCTATTTTGTCTAATAGTAATCACCAATGAAGGCCGCATTAGATTTCGAACAATAGCCGATAAAACTGTCTGCAAATTCTGATACACATTTTCTTCCTGCAGAACACACTGTGGCATAAATACGATAAATACTATGTGTGTTGACATTATAAAGTGATCATAAACTACTTGAGTAAAATGAACATTAAGAATTAAATGCTATGACATTAAGAAATTGAATTAAATTAGTTCTACTGTATATACTTTTACGGTACGTATGTACGTTAATGGCGTTTTGTGTGCACAATTATTGCGAAATTTTGTGTTGAATGTTAGGTTTTGTGGGTTTTGCCGAAAAAAAATCGATCTTGCAATCGAATGACATTCAGAAATAAATTGGGTGTTTAAGCTTTGATAACACGTTAACCTGAATTTTCGTACACGCAAAAGTCTTGAGCAATTTTTCGTTTTGAAATTTATACTCACATGTTCGTTTTGACCCATGAATTATTTTAAGGAAATTATTTCTCAAGTTTCTAACTTTCCAATGAGGAAGTTCAATATAATTTATAAAGTTAAAGCGAGACTTCCTTCAAATTCTAAAAGTTTCTTTTCTCTTAAAGATACCTGTAGCAATAAACTTTTCAATTAAGTACTTAGGTCAAACTCAATAAAGTTCTTTTGTAAATAAAAAGAATTAATGAATTCGTGAAACATTTATTAGGATTTATGTGATGCTTTTCAATAAGTAAGAACAAATAAGTATTAACTTTGAGTTCCTGAATTACGTTTTAAAATTAATTTAAAATTTGAATTTCCTGAAAATTTAAAGGATCTTAATTTTGGTTCGAAAATTTTAAAACTTCGATTTTATCTAAATTCAGACTTAACTCTTTATTAAATCTACGTTGAAAACATTTAATGAGGTATAAATTTTGCTGAATCCTCATAATCAGCTAGTAAAATGTCCAAAAATGACAATTCAAAGCAACTTAATTGAACATTTAAAGTATATTCTCGCCATTTCAAAATATTATTAAATAAACAACCTCAGAAGCCTAAAGACACAATTCTCATCCATTTAATTAATTAATCTTGCAGTTTATAATCCCATACAACCAATAAACTGCGCTATTGTCTACCATTTTCGTCTTAATTTTTAAACTAAATAAATATTTAAGGTTAACAACAGACAGATCTTTTTATAAAAGTCAGTATCACAAAAAAAAAATCTTTCATGCCCCTCAATTTTATTTCAAGACATAGGTATATAAAGTCTCTGTTTGCCTCATTTAAATCTTTATTTTCATAAAAAAAATTTTGCAAGCAAAAACGACTTTGTGACAATTGTTGTCTTTTCCAAAATTGGTAAGGCATTTTATGAGTGTCTGTCGATGAGAAAAAAAAAAGGATTTAAAAACAGTTTTATAGACAACATTGCGAATTGCAATTTCCTCATTTTTTATTCTTCAATATATTATGTATTATATCTCCACCATCAAATCGTAATTGTGAATCAATGAAATGTATCGTTTTGAAATCAAAATATCGAATATGCGCGCCACAATCTACACGCAATTAAATGAAGTCAATTTAAGAGATTTTTTTTATGGAGCATGTATGCATGTATAACTCACACTGGCTGGCTGGAGTATTAAGCATTACACACCACACATAGTACACATAGCAAGACAGCACATAAAACTTCCAAAAATGGTTACAACAAGATAGATAGGTAAGGCATAATATTGTATATCAAAACGTAAAGTAATAATAAATATTCTTTCGATTGAGAGACATATTGCAATTATTTTATGTATGTAAGTAAAGTAAAGTATCTTGTGGCATTTGGTAATGTCATAAAAAAGCAATTTTTCAACTCTTAACTTCCAATTCAAAATGAATTTATTAAGAAACTCCTTCGAATTGAATTGAACCCGAGAAGAAGAAAAATGGCAAGAATAGAGGTTCCAAAAAAACTCATTCATATCATGTCATAAATCATATCTGAGGTTATTGAATGATTCATACAATTCGGTTCAATAATAATCATGTTAAGTTGATTACTTTTGAGACTTTATTATGCATTTTATAAATCTTTTTAAGAAGAAACATGATGTATAGGCTTTTGGTTCTTGTGGCAAATCTATTCAGTTTATGACTTTTAAATGGAAAAATGACCAGAAATAGTAATGAGGTCAGTTTTGTTTGAACAGGTTACAAACTATATAGATCCCACCTGATGTGAGCTGATCTAGTGAATTATCTTAATCATGTAAAGGATTGATGCTGATCAATATGTCTAGATCTGTTCAGATATTGCGAATTTTAACTTCATCTTCACCAACAAGAATTAAAACTGAGATTCCAAAATCCCTAACTCAATAAAACATTAAGAAGAGCATTCAAGAATCAAATGAGTTTAAATTTAGGTTGAATGCAGCAGCAGCAACAGCAAAAACACACTAATGACTACAAAAACAAAGCAGTATGCAAATTTGTTTCAATGAATCGCACAAGACACAGCAAAAAATGCATGACTGAATTCATAAAATTAAAATTTCATTTCAATCTCTTCTTGTTCTGCTTTTGTCGCAACTAAATGAAGTTGCAAAAATATTCTTGATGACATCAGGGAGGAATCAATTGAAATGAAAATGAATGTAATTGTTAGTCATAAGGAAATACCTTCGTACATTTATAATCAAATCGTGAGATATGAATCACTGAAAATCATTTTGGATTGTACCTTAAAAATGGAGGGAGAGAAATATTTACATAAACATCGTTCAGACAATTAGTAGAGATTTACAATTTAAATTCTTTTTTTTTTTGCTTTATAAACAGCGAACCAGTTTTGTGAAAAAAATAAATATTTTATTTGATTTTAATGGAAAAGAGAAAGAAGACAAGTAAGAAGATTGCTTTAAATGAGGAGTTTTGTTGTTGGAACAAAATGTTTTTGAAATTGAGCATTTGGAGATGAAATTTGAGGAGTTTAAATTTTAAATTTGAAGTTTGTGTTCAGTAGGAGCCAAATAACAAGGAAGTTGTTGAACAAGTTCATTCGGTAAAAGAATCTGGATCAAAAATGCATTCAGAAAAAAAAAATCAATTCAAAAGTGCGTTCAATAAATTATAATTAGCTTCAAAAGAAGGATTAGTTAATAACTGAACTACAACATCCAAAAAATTCAAAAGATCACTTCCATAAAAGGCAGTCAATTAGCTACAATTGCAATCTGATGTTTGCTATAAAATTTTACGTTACATTTACGTCCGTAAATAATTTTAAAACATTTCCCCTTTTTCAATATTGCATGCAATTAATAAAACACCCAAAATGATTTATGAAGCAGTCGCAAAACACGCTAAAAAAATTATGTCATATAAATTATTTCACGATAAAGTGTTTTTGTCAATGAAATTATTATAAGTTTACAGACTATGTCGAAAAGGAATATATTATTTGTGAGAGTGTGAGACTATCCGCCTACACATGCTACTGCCATTCATTTATTCGGTCGCTATTATGGCATGTGAGACAAATAAATTTTTTTTTCTCTGGTAATTTTTGGATTTAAAATATAAAAGCAGAAAGAGAGAAAAATAAATAAATTGAATAAATATAACATTAATAAATAGATATAGAAAAATATGTAGAATATTATTGATAACTCAATGTCCCATTTATCGATATATGTTTCATTCCGTTTAAACTGTAAATTAAATATTGATGTGGATAATAATTTAGATGAAAATTAGCACAGCGAGGTGATAACAATACAATTAAAAATCAATTGGCACGATGAACGTGGGATGAAAATATTTATCGACATTGCTAGTAGTGGAACCAGAAATTTTTGTTGATTTGAGTGTTATGGACTAAAACAAGAGGGTCAGAGGCCTAGTGTTCATCTCTTAGTACACCTTTGTACAATGCCTAGCATGAAATTGATAGATCGAGTGAAACGAGTCCGAAAAATGTGGCTACATTATAGTTATGACCATTGAAAACATCCTGGCTCGCAACTGTTTTACTGTCCGTTACCGAACCAACAATTTAATATATTGAGAATAAACAGCTATAAGAATGAGATGAACAGGTACGAGAGACGAAAACAGAGAGAACTTGAGTAAGAGTAAAGAATATGGAAAGAGGAAATGATTCTCAATTGATCATTTGAATTGTTGTTGCCATTGCCGTCTGTCGACTCATTCCTATATTATAATATCTCTCTTCAAAGCATTTATTGACCTCTCAATTTCCTTTTATAGCCAAAACAACTTAACTCTTCAAAGAAGTCTAACAAACGAAAAGAAATTGTTCATAAATATTTTTTTATATATTTTATATATTTTTTTTGTAGTGTGTTTCGCGTATCAATTAGTGTGTGATGTCACGCTTAAAATTTGCGAATAAGATACTTGCGAAAAAAAAATATTCAATCGATACATTGTTGATAGGTTAGACGAGTATTAACAAAAAAATTATATGCTACAAATCAAATTATGACCGAGGCAAGTTAAAAAGTCATTTGCATGTTGTGAATTCTTTTGTTTCAGATTTATTAATTGAGTTATTTTTGTTGAGGTGCGCCAAAGGAGCCTTGATATTGTCAAGTATTGATATTGAATATTGATCATGAGATAAGTTGAATTGAGTTTTAAAATATGAAATATATTTGAAATTAAACGGTTTTTTGAGATTTAAGACCTCAATCTACAGACAAAATGCTCCCACATATTCCAAACACATTTATATCTAGAAAGTATGTATACCTCTACACATATTTTTTGGGATATCAATTGACCTCGAAAATGAATTTCATGTTTTGATGCCTGCTTGTCTGATATCTGACTAGCAAATCGACATATATTTTACACCTCAACATAAGATTGAATTAAACTAGCATTAAGCTGATTGAATACTGTATTATTTGTAGACTTTATTGTGCTTATTTAAACACACATATGTCTAAGATTTTTTTATATTTAATTTGCAGAGACAAATGCCTTGCTAAAAACTTATACAAAAAGATCTCAGATCATTTTTGTTCCATTCAACTTCCACTCATTCTCTCAGTATACATTACCACATACAACAGAGTCTAAAATTGAAAATTGTCGTGCACAAGACTGAGATTGTGCTTGGGCGATATTATAAAACCATACATTGCTTTGAGTTTTCAACTTCTTTCATTTCATTTCTCATTCGTCGTTGTTGTCGTCGTCGCAATATTTCTTTTAAAATAAGTAAGGTTTTCTTTTATATATATATATATAGCCAAGAAATGGAATTTTGCAAAGGAATGAGAATGTTTCGCTAAACAATATGCTTCATTTGTAATGTGAGCCACTGAAATGATCGTAATAATAGCTTTTAACTGCTGCGTGCGCGTTCAATGGCATTTTATTCTTCTTCAAACAGAAATAAAAACAACAAAATCACAATAATGTGCCGAATCAATGATATTTTCGGTGAGTTACGGTTACTGTGTGGTTACATTACATTTTTGAAGAGGAGTATTCAGCAGTATTCACAGAAGAATAGCATTCTTTTCTTTTTTCTGCATCATAACATGGCACATTTCACACAACATCATAACATAGATAAAGAAGAAGTGAATGAATGATGACGACACGACATGAAATCATTATTTCTCTATTGACATTATTTCTCATCTTCTTAGTTTTTTGTGAAGTGCTTTAGACTTGTGAAATATTATAGTTCTTGGATTAGAAGTGGAAGTTTGTGTGCCAATAGTCGAAGCTAGTTGAAGCTTTACAATTAAGTTGCTTCGATTTTGTTTTCAATTTTTTTGGAATTTACTTCAATCTGATGCTATTTGTAAGTTGTGTTCTGAATTGAAAGCTTTATTTTTTCAAAAAATATTGAAATTGAAGATCAAAAACAAAAAACAGATTCAAAATCATTCAATTTGATGCTTATTGTTGTAGTTGATGCGACTTTACCTAAGGAGTCGTTCACATATAATAACATTATATGGATTTTTAGAAAATTCTATTGTTCTTTTCTTGCTGACCCCCCCCCCCCCCCTAGCCGTCATAGGTACACTAAATTGATACAAAATATCAAAAATCAGCTTTTGTAATGCAATTTAATTTAAACTCTTTAAGATCAAACTATTTCAATTTTATATTTAGAGCAAGCAAAATTAAGCACAAGTTACACATAATTTTTCATACCATAACTCGTACATTCATGTTATCTTAAATCATTTACTACATTACCCTTTGACAGATCGACCCCAAAAAAAAAAAACTATGATCTCAATGTACCACATAAATCAGCACACAACTAATAATGCTTAGTTAAGATGGAAGTAAAGATAACAAAACTTCAAACGAGAACACAGATAGGACGATTAAAAAGAACAAAGTCGAGAAAAGAATTAACTGTTTTTCATTTGCCTTTTTTCCATGTCTGATTCTGAATCGTATTCTCGACGTGTAGTTTTCTTATTCATTTTACCTTTTTCAGCACTCTTAAATTCACAATTTTTTTTTTATTTTCTTCTTTTTCCTTCTCAAACTTTATTTTATTCTTTTTTATTTCTTTGCAACTTCTCTATACTTTTTCTTCTCTTTATCAGGCACAACAGTTTTCTTCTTTCATTCTTCGCGGAACGGAACTTAAGAATGATTTTTTTCTTCCTTTACAAAAATTTCTCTTTTTTGCATGTATAAAAAAATCACGAATGGAAATGAACTTATTATGTCGACAGATCTTTTCAATTCTTAAATTGTGAAATTTAAAAAAATCTATCTTCACGGTTCCCGTACACAAATCGATTGAAAAGATAGGAAAACTCTTTGAAACTTCAAAAAAAAATTAAATTAAATTTTAATATTTCGTTAAATTCAACCTATTTCGTTAGCTGCTGAAGTTGGACTAAACTTGTTGCGCTCTCTCTTCTTTCAATTTTTCCTATTTCATATTCTTTTACTTTACAGCTTTATGTGTGTATATTTTTCATCTAAAGAGTTCATTGCTTATAAAAATTTAACATTTACAGCTTTAAAAAAACATGCACATGTATGTTTGAGTGTTTAAAGTTATTTTTTTTTTCTTCTTTATTTTCTGAGAGACTTTCAGGGAAGTGGAACTTTATGTTTGATATTAAAATGTTAGATATTATTTTATTTACATTGCGTGCTATCGATAAAATGTACACAAAAGACACATTTCACTATATTCAACAAAAGAACTATCTTCTATTGTTCATTGTCAGTTTTGTTATCTGTTCTGTTAAAATAAATATTTAGCAACTGATGAATGATAATAATGAATGTGATAAGAAGAGTTTATTAACTTTAAAATTTAAATTTACACTTATTTTTGGAAGTAATTAACATGTGCGATGAAGAGATCTTAGATAAAGAATGAAGCATAAGATTTTAAAAGCTCTATTTCGATTGTTTTTTATTAGGACTGCATACAGCTTCAGACCCTTATCATAACCCCTAAGTTGCATCCTAATTTATCAAATAGACAAACTACATATCTAAGTCTCAAAAATCATAAAATTTATCTACTTCCTCACAATATTTGCATTCTTATCTTGTATGACTAATATCCAAAATTTCTTATCTATCTTTGATAAGCTCATAAGCATAATAAACACGAATCTCTACTCTGCAAAAAAATGTTTTTTCTGTTCGAACATGTTAAGCTGTGTTGTGACTTAACTCTTTCTCTCTTCCCCTCTCTTATTTCTCATATTTACCTTCTAGAGTTTTACAAACTCTCTCATTTTCGAACATAAACATAGAAAAATGAGAGAATATCATTAAACTCTCTGTTAAGTCTTCCTGATCATCGATTGTGTGATCATTCACATGTATTGGGATGATGTCTTTTGGACGATTGTAAGATAATCTGTTAATTTGATTTTATTAATCTGCATTTAATCACTATTTTAAATGATCGTTCATAAATGATGTCATCAAAATAGAGACAGCGACCAACAAAAAAAAAACAGCAGTGGCGTTGTAGTTATAGTTCGATCTCCTCTAATAACCAAAATTACATGATGTCTGTAAAGCTTGTGAAACATGTGCCAGAGTTTAATTGATATACAAAGTTGAGGTAACCCCATCTGATGGACTTTGTGATGATATGATATGTCTAATGAGTTCAAATATCTCCAAATTTTTTATAGCTATCATTTAAAATTGACTATACTACCGATTTGATATCAAGAGATAAAAAACGAGTATCATAAAAAAAAAATCTTGACCATAAAAATGCTCCACACAAAAAAAAAAGTCTGACAAAAGCATTTCATGATGATGCTTAATAAAATGACCAATTATGTATTTTTATAAAAATGCAAAGTGTGAGCAGCACGGGTAGTTGTTCACATACATACATGCAAATGATACAATTTCGATGCGAGACTGAGTCAATTACCATTCATGAATATATTAATTTGGGGGTTGCTACATAACAAACTGCTGCCAAACATAAAATAGTCACTCAATGCAACCTATTCAGTCCACAAATTGAATGTCAATGATTTCAACTAATTTGATACGCTGGAAAAAACAGGGGAGTCAAGTCTCACACATGAATTCCTTCTACATTATTTTGGTCCTGTGATTTTTTTTATATAAAAAAAACTTTATCACCGTTGTCACAGTGTTTATTTTAATGCATCAATAAACTTTTTTCCCCACCAATTTCTACGTCATTAACACGCAATTTATGCATAAAAATACTAAATGGAAAAATCATTGCGACGCGCGTATGGCAATGTGGAAAAATTTATGATAAAAAAGTGCTTCTCATTTCAATGTGAGTGAGAATAAAGCATGAAAAAATCATATAAAACTTGCCAAAAATGCAAATTATGTGGCTGGCTGGCAAATTGAATGAGCAACAAAAAATACAGGCGAGGTAGAGATTTATATGCTGGTGTTGATCGCGCATTAATCATGGGGGAGTCTAAATTGGCATTTTGTCACTTTATTTCAACAGCAAGCATATTGATACAGGGTTTTTTCAAAAATAAATGAACCTATAACGTAAGACGTGTGTTCAAATCCTATTTGGATCTAAGCTCCCCCAAGAACCAAAAAGAGTTGAATTCTCAATTTGGTTACTTGATGTTGTTCTGTTTAGGTTTACATGGCTGAAACGTATTATTAAGAGTGAATCCTCTAACTTCTGAACCTTTTAAATCTCATTATGAGTCAATATTCCTACTAGAAAAGATTAATTATCAAGCTAATTGATCAGCAACAAATAAAAGTCAAAGTGCATGTCACCGGTTCATCATTTATTTATCTCACTTGAAACGACAATGATCAGCACAAAAAAAAAACGTATTCAACTCCCCTCATTGAGTCTCGGGTTATGCAAAATTATACTGGCGAATGAGAGTGCTTGTTGGAAGCCAAAAGCATAAAAAATCATAAATTAAATGTACTAAAAATGTGCGTTAAATTCACTCAACAATGCTTCGATATTTTTTTTTTATAGTTTACGATATTCAGTTTGCAGTTCCATGTCATCATCGAATGTATTAAAATGAACGAAAAAAGGATGAAGTGGAATGAAAAAAACTGTTGAAAGAGTAAATCCCTCTCGTGTATATTTAAAATCATATTAAATGCCATGGCATTTTGCATAACATCACACAGGGATATTTTTGTAATTTATGTGTTTTCCACATAAAATAAAAATACAAGTGGAAAAGAGGCAGCGAACCTCAAACCGCGTCGTCATACATTAAATCCGCAACATAACATTTTTTTTACAACAACGGCAGCAACACAGACCCCCACACACTTTTATCCAAAAAAAAATGCTTTTTCTATTTATAAAAAAGAGCAAAAAAGCAGCAGCACGCCACTCAATTGCGTATTATATCAAGGCAAGGAAATAATATAAAAAGTAGGTAGATGGAGGGTGTAGCAAAAGGCACCGAAGAATGAAAAAGCGGCACGAGAGTGAGGAAAAAGTTTTTCATGAGCGCAAAAAGAAAGAAAAAGAAAAAAACTGTCGACGACGGCAGTGAAAATTTTTTTTTTTTATTTCTTCCTTTCCACAATTTTTCGTTGTGCCCTCGAGTTGCGGCAATTTTTTTGCTCCTCTTTTTCCACATTAATGCTTGAAATGTAAAAATGTAGAGAGTGTTCGTCGAGTGAGAGAGCGAAGAAAAAAGCGTGGAAGGCATTAAATTATATTGAAATTTATTTTCGTTCACCCATACCTAGTCATATGTATACACTCAGGCAGTCATTCAGCGTGCTTTTTAAGTGAACTCGACATTACCATTGTCGGAGGTAGTGAGAGGAGGGTGAACGTTCAACGGAATGAATGAATAAAAAAAAATTGTGACTGCTGCTATCGTTGACAGTAATGTCGCACTTTGCTTACAGCCTATTATCATACATATCGCATTTTCTACTGGATTATACAGCGAGCATTAAAAATTTTTTCCACCCGCTTTAACCATGACTAGTATGCACACGTACATATTATGCCAATCTGAACCATAAATGACATGAATGCTTCTGACATTCTGCGTAGGCAAAAAAAGAATTTCTATTTTTATTTCTAAATATAATACAGCAACAATTTATAATTTACCTAAAAATTGACGTAAATATTTTATTCCTTCAAAGTATGTTGAATGACTTTTTTTTGCGAGAGAGTTCTGCAACATTGTTGTTAAATTATTCAGGATGTTCTATTGAGACACAATAAATTATATAATATATTTGTTATTAGCAGCAACTGCTCATATGTTTGTTGTGTAAATAACCTGATGTTTAAAAATATCTCATGTCTACTTTATTGAGACTTCTTTAAGGACTTCTAACAAATTTATGTCCATTTCTCGTCCAACAAAAGCTCACAAAAGTGGAAGCTTACAAGTACCAAAAATTTCAACAATAAAAGCATCAGAAGCATGTCGTAAATGTCTTCATAATATCCCATCACATTGTCTACGATACATATTTTTTTTTTGTAGCATATTGTAAAAAGAATGAGGAAAAGCCATAACTATCGTATGGAAGCTTTCGTTCTTTGTTCAATTACTGTAGGTCGCTTATGGCACAAAATTGATTCTGTTGAAATGTATTATATGCACACATTTTTCTCATACACCACATAAAACAGAAGCAGTCAGCGAGCAATAGTCTCTGTAAAATTGTATAGAAGTAAAAGTACAACAAATGTACATTCCATAAAATAGAGATATCACACAGGCAAAATGGCATGGCATTTTGTATATTCCGTATAGAATATGAACGAGTATCACATGGAGAAAGGATATATAGGAAAGAGAGATATACAGACAATGATATAGTGAGAGAGGTTGAGTATTGTGGGAAGCATTGCCGTTTGATGCTCGACACCCATTAACAATATTCGGTTCGGAGTTTATGGCAAAATGACACATAGAACAGCGATAGCATAAAATTGTCACATCAAGAGAGATCTGCACACCATTTATTCAGTCATTATGTTTCTCCCATTCTTTACATCCCATCTCGTTCCGAATACCACCCAATTTATGGTTGCTATTTTGCCTTTTGTCTCGCTCGTTCAGCCATTCCACCCCTATATCATCATCATCATTATTGTTATTGCTATTCTTATACATTTTTCGTTGTAGTTCACATTTATCGAGCAGATAGGAAAAGAAATGTTGTAAAAAGAAGGCAAAACAAAACTTTCTCAACAGCTAGAAAGCTTGCCTGTTTTATGGCATTTATAGTTTTACCAGTATGCCATTTGGGAAAGATAATTTATGTACCTATAGACCCACGAGAGTGTCGAGCATTCACATTTCAGCTGGATATACGTATTATATGTTATATCATTGTCATTTGCTGTTATGAGGCACACGTTGATAGATGAG